CGAACATTATTAGGACGCTGAGAACAAATTCGTTAGCTAGACTTTAGGCTAAAATTAACCTAAATATATATGTTTAGAATTGAATGATTTTTTAATATGTTGTACATTCAAGTGTATACTTTAATTTAAAATGATAAAATTTTGGGGAATACCGTCACAACATCGGTAAATGTTCGTCCGAACATTCTTAGTACGCTGAGAACAAGTTCGTTAGCTAGACTTTAGGCTAAAATTAACCTAAATATATATGTCTAGATTTTAATGAATTTTTAATATGTTGTAACATAGGTACATGTTCGTCCGAACATTCTTAGTACGCTGAGCGCTAATTCGTTAGCTGGACTTTAAGCTAAAATTAACCTAAATATATATGTTTAGATTTTAATGATTTTTTAATATGTGCTACATTTAAGTGTATACTTTAATTTAAAATGATAAAATTTTGGGGAATACCGTCACAACATAGGTAAATGTTTGTCCGAACATTATTAGGACGCTGAGAACAAATTCGTTAGCTAGACTTTAGGCTAAAATTAACCTAAATATATATGTTTAGAATTGAATGATTTTTTAATATGTTGTATATCTGAGTGTATACTTTAATTTAAAATGATAAAATTTTGCGGAATATCGTCACAACATAGGTAAATGTTTGTCCGAACATTATTAGGACGCTGAGAACAAATTCGTTAGCTAGACTTTAGGCTAAAATTAACCTAAATATATATGTTTAGAATTGAATGATTTTTTAATATGTTGTACATCCAAGTGTATACTTTAATTTAAAATGATAAAATGTTGGGGAATACCGTCACAACATAGGTAAATGTTCGTCCGAACATTATTAGTACGCTGAGAACAAGTTCGTTAGCTAGACTTTAGGCTAAAATTAACCTAAATATATATGTTTAGAATTGAATGATTTTTTAATATGTTGTCCATCCAAGTGTATACTTTAATTTAAAATGATAAAATTTTGCGGAATATCGTCACAACATAGGTAAATGTTTGTCCGAACATTATTAGGACGCTGAGAACAAATTCGTTAGCTAGACTTTAGGCTAAAATTAACCTAAATATATATGTTTAGAATTGAATGATTTTTTAATATGTTGTACATCCAAGTGTATACTTTAATTTAAAATGATAAAATGTTGGGGAATATCGTCTTAACATAGGTAAATGTTCGTCCGAACATTCTTAGTACGCTGAGCGCTAATTCGTTAGCTGGACTTTAAGCTAAAATTAACCTAAATATATGTTTAGAATTGAATGATTTTTTAATATGTGTTACATTTAAGTGTATACTTTAATTTAAAATGATAAAATTTTGGGGAATATCGTCTTAACATAGGTAAATGTTCGTCCGAACATTCTTAGTACGCTGAGCGCTAATTCGTTAGCTGGACTTTAAGCTAAAATTAACCTAAATATATATGTTTAGATTTTAATGATTTTTTAATATGTTGTACATTCAAGTGTATACTTCAAATTAAAATGATAAAATTTTGGGGAATACCGTCACAACATAGGTAAATGTTTGTCCGAACATTCTTAGTACGCCGAGCGCTGGATTTCAGACTCAAATTTACTTAAGATTTTATGTATATATTATTTTATATGTTATGAATTTAAGTATTTCCCCCCATTTCATTTGTGAAAATGTGCCGGAAAACGTTACAACATGTGTTATATCGTTTAAATTAAGGTTTTAACATTTTTAACACAGTTGAGGTCTATTACTGTTGTATTAGATTGTACACAGGTAGGGTAGTGGGGGTGTGGAATTCTCCGCCCGCCGTTAGCTGGCGATAGCTGTCTTCACGATCGTCTCCCCTGAGCCTGTCCGGAACACGACCCACTGGCCAGTACACTTAGTATGTATAGGCTATACAGTGTTACGTTACGTTCAGTGTTTCCATTTGAGGGATAAAAATCCCTTTCTAGGGATATTTAGGGCCTTCGAGGGATTGAAAAGGGATTGAGGGATAACTAGGGATAATCAGCGAAATTGAAGGATTTTTTAGATTTTCTAGGGATTTCAGGCCTTTGACATTATAAAATTGAAATATTGATAAAATAATACATTATGGCTGTATTTCAACAACGTTAAGGACCTATTATGGCTAATTTTGCAAGGTATTGATAACACATTGATTATACTACTTTTTCCCTAGGTTTTGGTAACAAATCGATTGTAGCATAGATAAAAGATACACCTCAAGGAGTATGTTTTATCTATGGTTGTAGGTAGTGGTAGTGACGTAGTGTTTCAAAGTAGGAACACATAAGGGGAAGAGTAACAGCCAACACTGCACGAAACAAGCAAAGGGCTGGAGTCGGTCGGTGGAATGGAATGGCGGATCTAGATTACTGTAATTTGTTTCTTTCTTAGTAGCCCTGTGCCCTGTGTCAATGTCGAAAGTTTGTTTTCGTTTTGATTTTGTTTAAAGTTTGCCGGTGATTTCTGTGATATTTTTTGGTTAGTAAGTAACTTTGGTGTAACCTTTTCACCAAGACATGGTGGCCATGTTTGAAAAAGACAATTAAGTTTGAAATTTGGACACTTGAGTAATATTTTTGAAACAATTGTAAATACTTATATAAAAATTATTAGTTTATAAAATTTTAAAAATAACTATTTGTTTAATTTTTTTAGTTAATTAATCTGGTTTTGTACCACATAGACAGTTTTTAATCACGGCTACCTTAATTTCAGGCCGGAGCCCGCGGCCTTCGAAGTCAGGGCTTTCGAAGTGGCAACGTTGCAAGTATAGTGTTGTAAAAGGTGTTTGTTTGGAGAACGCTAAGCTAATGATATTTATGTATTTTTTAAGAATACGAAAGCTTGGTTACTGGGCTATGAAAATGTTGACCCCACATTGAATGTACAGAAATAGATTTTCAATTTATATTGCTTTGGTTTTTCGATTCTATATTTATGTTTTACCCAGACAGCACACTTTATCCCAGGGACATCCCATAGTAGTCCCATATGTCCTGAGAATGTCTCGGGATATGTACGCTATCCTCAGGATATCCCGCAAAATCCTGGGACGAGTACGAAATCTACAGGATATCCTACAATATACCGTAATGTCCCGGGATTTGTAAGTTAACCTCAGGATATCCTGTAAAGTCCCGGGATATGTACGAAAGCCATAGGATATCCCAGAATGTCCCATGACATCCCGGGACATGTACAAAATCCACTGGATATCCTGTAATGTCCCGTAATGTCCCGGTAACAAACTGAAGAAAAAAATGCTACCACTGATGAAATGTATATCTAAATTTAAATGTTCAACAAGGCCAAAATATATAATAATTTGTTTTTTTTTACTAGCGCTTTCAAAAACTAGGTTTCCATCTTCAGGCTGTGTTTACACTAGTACAAAAAGTAAATATTTACTTGATAAATTAATTTTAAACAAAGTTAAAACTGATGTTTTAATGGATATTGGAAAAATAAAAAATAATATTAGAAAAATTAATCTTTTGAATTTTGGATGTATTACGGTGTTGTTCTTGATGTAATTATTTTCAGTAATTCCGAATTTATAATGGGGCCGTCTTCATTATTTAACAAATAATTTTGGTCTGTTTTTTTTTTTTTTTTTTTTTTTTTTTTTTTAATAAGATTCCCACGCATTAAGATGTTTATAATTTGTTTTAAAAGTTTAAGGTTTCCCAGATTGAAAATATGTCTTGTTAATACTGTGGCTAGCAAGGGTTGACTTAACTTTACTGACATATTATTACCACTGAGTTCAGGAAAACTAGAGTTCTATCATAGTTGTGTGAAATGTGAATTTAATTCTAACTTTAAATTAATAAAACAATCAAAAACTAATTTTAATCATATAACAATCAATTATAACAGTGCTAATCTAATGGTAATTAAATAATCTATATTCAAATACCAGTATCCTCTCCAACTACCAGAAAAACAATTCAACTACTTGAGGCCTAAACAGATTAACAGAATCATATTATACTGTAGTATCAGCAAAAATATTTTAAGTATTGCGACCATTGCAACTGTCGGCTACTCTTTCACCACTTGAAAACACCCACAATCAACAAGCGCAGAGAGCTCAGGAGGTAAGGTAAGATGCTCATGAGGCGAAGGTATCAGGTTCGAGTCCCGTCTGGGCCAAAAACTTTTTTCTCATTTTTTTCTTCAAAATTTGTGTTTATTAACTATTTAATCAATTTACTAAACTTATAATTAAGCTTTTCATACTAAATCTATATTATTTTGTGTTTTTTATGTTCAGGCCCAGACCACACTTTATCCCAGGGACATCCCATAGTAGTCCCATATGTCCTGAGAATGTCCTGAGGACTACCCTGGGATGAACTCGGATGTCCCTCGGATATGCTGTGAGCTTATCCGTAGGACATCCCCGGGCGGGGACAATACGCATTCCTGTGGATATCCTGGGATATCCCAGGTTGACCATAGGACCACTATGGGATATCTTGCATATCCTGTCGCACTATCCGTGGGATGTCCTGAGGAGAAAGTGTGCTGTCTGGGTATTTCCATGTTAACGTCTTGCGCTAAACAATACTACGGTACTTGCAACGTTGCCAATTCTACCTGGCCGTGGCCTGCCTGGAGTTAAAGATGGTCGTGGTTTTAATGGTACAAAAATGTTTTTTTATATAGTATTACCATTGACTATACACAGAAATAGAAATTTCTGTGTATAGTCAATGGTATTACTTTATAAATAATATGGGATATTGAAGAATACTATCACCAGTTACCATATTTTAGGTGGCTATACATGAGGTGGCTATACATTGGTATTGCTGCAAAAATAATAAGTTATCTAGATTTGATGAAGAGGGATAATTGGAGGGATTATTAGAACACGGACTAGGGATAACAAGGGATTTTTTGACGTTGGCCCAGGGATATTTTTTTCTTGCGGATGGAAACACTGGTTACGTTACAGTAGTTCAGTTTTTCAGTTTTCAGTTAACGAACGATACAGACAGACTATGCCGACTGCCTAAAAGATTAAGCTAATCCAAGTTATTTTGTTCATTGTTTACTAACTGAGTATATGAGTAAATGAGTTCAGCTCTTATTAAGACTTATTTAAGACCAAGACGTCAAAATGATGGTTGATAATGTATATATCGTGGACAATGGAGCTTACACGGTTAAAGTGGAACTCTCCAAAGCAGCTGCACCAAGGTAAGCAAACTGGATAAAATCTAGCCTAGACCAAGGTCTATATAGTTTTCATTTTGGTCACTTATTTTACATGTTAGGTGTGTATGGAAAATCAGGTTATTTCTATAGCTTAAAAAGTGTAGCATAGGTAACAATCCGTTCCGATCAGCTGAGAAATTACTAGGCCTAAAGGCTACCGTATTTTAATTTTTACTTATATGTGAATGAAACCAAACTTAACCGAACTAAAACCAAACTTTCTTGACCAATAGTGAATGTTCTAAGCTTGAGGCTACCTAATATAGTGGTGTGACGAGTCGTGTATTTCCTTGACTCGAGTCAAACTCGACTCACGACTATGGCAACTCGAGTCAGGTTCAACTCCGTATCATCGTAAAACTTCAGCTTCCATCCGTCGAGTTGGGGTCGACTTGCAGCGCAACCAATAGGGTTAGGCCTATAGCTTGGTGAGTCTGCTCAACTCACATTCAGCCAATAGCGTTTTGCAAGTTGGACTCGTTACGTTCCGAGTTCGTGTATAGCTTCGGCAATCTCCGTACGAGTTCTTACCAACTCGAGTTGTGAATGAGATGACTCAAGTCGGGTCTTGACTCGAGCTAACTCGACTCCCCAACTCAACTCGTCACATCACTAATTATACCTAACTTAACTTGGTGAAGATCTAAACTGGGACTGTGGAGTTGTCCGATTAATCCAGCTATTCAAGAGGTCACGAATTGTGGATATTTAGGCCTATAACTCAGGCATGATCTGTGGATGCCATAGGCTACTCCCTGGCTTGGATTAACGTCTGCACAAGTGAGGATTAAGTTACGACTAGGCCTAACTTATCCGCAGTAACTTAGGTCTACTATCCTGACAATTAAGTTCTATACCAATTCGTAAATTGCAAGGCAAAAGGGATTCGTATTCCACTAAGTATAAACTGTATGTCCTTATAACTATTACAGTAACTTAACTATGATGACGCTAAGTTACCGGTACTCCAGCTGAATCTCTACGTCTGGTGATGGCATTAAGTATAATGCCGAAACGGTGGTACTGGCAACCAAGGTTACAACAGATCCAGCTGTAGACAAAAAGGTTAATAGCCTACCTAGCCTATTTTTAACACTAATACCGAAACCCTACAGAGGCTGTAAAAAGATGTAAAATAGTGTATAGGCTAAGTTATAGCTTATAATTTTGTTTTGTATCATAATTTTTGTACATTTTTAAGTTAGTTATATTGACATGAGTTACTTTGTAAAACAGTTCTTTTACTGAAAGATGCTCGTAAATAAAGGCATTTTTATTTATTTATTTCTTAAGGGTTTACCGTACGTTATTTTTGCCAAAAACTTAAGCTAGAGACTTTGTTCTCGTTCTCATCGTTCTCCTTCTTCGTCTTTTACCCACAATGTGGGATTGACAGCGTCACTTTAAACACGATTACTAATACAAAAAAAACAATATTTACAACTATTTACATACTTCCGGCAGGCTACAGGCTTCTTAAATCATCCCCTAAATACTCTGAAATATCGTAATAGGCCCGGCTCTTGATGAAAGTGGTTAACACTGCCTCAAATGTTCTCAAGTCCAACAACTTGACTATGACTTGTTAAGTTAATCATATTACAATTTTTAACTATCAAATTTGGTGCACCTAGCCTAGTTTGTGACTTATTTTCATGAATAAGTTAATAGGCTACCGGTACACTTTTTAATGGGGGATAATATAGCCTATGGTAGGAATATAATGTCATATCAAATTTATTTCAAAAACCTGATTGTTAAAAAAGAACTAGGCCTAATTTAGCTTTTTATTGAAGGACCTTTGTACTTTAATTTCAGTGACAAAGCCTACTAATGTGGCCAAGGCCTATTTCAAATTCCGCTAGGCCTACCTATTATCTTTTTAACAAGTTTAAAAATTAAAGGTTGCAACTAATAATAAGTAAATATTTTATTAAAGTGCAGTAGGCTATTTCAAATCTAAATTTTTGTCTTTTATTTGTAGAGTTATTCCAAATTGCATCATGAAAGCTAAAAGTGAACGTCGAAGACCTTTCATTGGGGATCAAGTAGAAGAGTGCAGAGATGCGTCTGGATTATTTTACCTGCTACCATTCCAGAAGGTAGGTAACTCTAACTTATATAACTTATATTAATCTCTCTAAGTAGGCTTATTAGACTGTCAAGTGCATATGTGTTACCGATACTTATGATGCTAATGATCCATTTATTTTTTATTGCCATCTTAATAACATGGGCCTAATGTTTAAACCTTTGACACGGGAGTATTTTTATGATTTCATAATTCAACCTTTTTCAGGTTATTTACGTTATTTTAAGGTGTTACATTTTGTATTTCGATACGGTTTTTACCCAAATAGTTAACCATAAAGGCCAAAAAAGGAACTGTGTTCTTTTCGACTAAAACCTAATAGAGGCTTGTGTAAAGAAAAGCAAAACAGGTACCGGTAGGCCTACAGTTCCTATAAAAATTGACACCTAATTATACACAAGCAAGATAGCCTACCATTATTAAAGGTGCGCCCTCCTACTGGATAAGCCACACATTAGTATGTTTAATATGAACTGATCACAGACAGGAATTGAACCCATGCTCGTTGACCTAATCGCTACACTTGTCAGTGCAACACCTTATAGTAATACCACGAACAAAACAACCTGCGCAGAAGCGAAAAGATCACGTGGTTCGCGCCGGTAGGTGTGGCGTACCATTCAAACCTGCACGGCTCGAAACGGCCCAGGGTTCTTTTGTTTCTGGTATTACTATAGTAAACTGAATGTTTGTGCAGATTCCTAGAAGATGGCATCTGATGGAACCCTAAGAACAAACTAACATTTCTAATCTGATGTTATATTGCTAATCAAACCTCACCAAACTGTATAATAATTGCCACAAAAAGAGACGATTCTTAATCATTGCGATATAATGATCAGTACTTATCAAAAGCTGACGTTTTGGTTTGACTTTTACATCTAATTTAGGCCTAGGTAGCAGCTACTCTTAGTAATATTACCAACTGATATTTACAGGGTTTCCTCATTAATTGGGACGTCCAGAAAACCGTGTGGGACTACATATTCAGCAAGGAGTGTTGCTACGGAAATTTTTCCGAAACACCTCTTATAGTCACAGAACCTTATTTCAACTTCTCCAACATTCAGGAAGCTATGTCAGAAATTTTTTTCGAAGAATATGAATGCCAGTCGCTCTTAAGAATTAATGGTAAGTAGAGATGGACTATGAGTTTGTTGTATTAAATTTGCAACTCTGAGTATTTGACAGTATTGTAATGTTGCTTTAAGGAATCAGCGATTTAATAGACGTGTTTTTTGACGTTAGCATAATATTTAGTCCTTATAAGAGAATTTCTCTATGGATTAGACGCTTTTACAATAGGTTAAGTGGCTTGGAAAGATCTATACCTGGAACTGATTTACTATTTCATTTTGATGTCCCCAGAGGTTATAAACACTATTTTTACAATTTGTATATAAATGTGTCCGTCGGTAACTGCGAGTAGTCTTGGTCCGATTTTGATTAAATTTAGCATAAACGTGCAGGGCTACATACACCTTAGGAATGAGTTCATGAACCAACAAGATCTGGTCATAGGAAAAGGGTGTTGTGTGGCTATAAAATTTTTCAAAAATTGGTTTAAGTTCTAATTTTTACCCTTAACCCTCCAAGTGTCCATAATGGTATTAATGTCCGCCCATTTATCGTGCAATTGCAGGGTTTTATGTAACTTAGAAACTAAAAAACAATGTAAAGTATACTGTTTTATATATCATTTTGTTTGGGAAATTATGGGCTTCAATGTAATAGCCTATATAAAACATTACAAAAAAATTTTCAACAATTTTTGTGGGGTTAACATTTTTTAAAAATTATAAAATAAATGAAAAAATATTTTTTGCGATCAAAAATTTTATAGAGTTTATAAGTCTACACATATTTTAAAATAGCCACTTTGTTCTAAATTTTATAAAGATTACAAAAATATAATAATATAAGGAAGTAAATTTGCAAATAAATACGTTATGGGTGAAAAACAGATTTTGTACATTTAGCGTTAGTGAAGAATGCATAGCCTAACCACAGCTAGAAATCTGGCCGATAATTTACATCAATATCACTACCTACTTCTTCAGGATCATCAACCAGCCCTTCAAAATCACTTAAATCTTCTTATAATGCACCACGCCTATCACTACTTTTTATTTTTAACACTAAAACAATGATAAACGTGATAAAAAACATCAGTCATTGGTGCGAGGTTAACCAAGTTGTTTACAAATACCCACGTCAGCTGTCTGCTACAATGTTTTCGGAACTAAAATGAAAAGCATCTAGAAACAGACATCAGGAGAAAGCTTAGAATCTGCCGAAAACAACGATACCAATCTCGATCCAGTTCAATCTGATTCAGTCAGTCCCAGAGCCTTCGCCGTAAACGATGTTTGTGTGTCGCAAAAGCACACCACGGCGGGTGTGTTGTGCGTCGATTACGCGACGCTTAACACTCGGAGGGTTAAAACATAAAAATTCCCAATCTTAATTGAAACAATCGTGTAGAGCTTAACAGAAGAAATCAAATTGTATGTTATTGTTGGATTAAAGTTTGGGAAAGAACATAAAAAAATAAACTGTAGGCTACATTTAAAATTCTAATGTTATTCTTATGGAGAAAAAGTAAACCGTTGTAGGTAGTTTGTTTAAGAAAAATTGTTATCAAATTTGGCAAATTTATTTTATACTATTACAAATAGAAGACTTATCCTACTCTGTAGCAGGAAACCTAGGTATTCATTAAATCTAATAGATGGTAGGCATAAATAAGAAAAAAATCTGTGACAAGTTCGAAGGAATATTTGAAAAAAAAAATCAGTCGAATAAGGGTGCACATTTTAACTTGCAAAGTTATGCAAAAAATAGCCTATGCGTTCTTAGCCAATTTTTACCTTTTCTCCATACAATAATGCATTAAACAATGATTTTCAAATTTTGCTCATTGTTATGAGTAGGCTGCCTATTATAAAAAAATTTGAAATCCTTTATAATAGGTCTTGTTTTTGGCTCTTTTACTGCATTTAAAAAATAGTAGTTTTTATAGCATTTGCACTTAACCTTTTGTATGTTTAAAAACCAAATGCCATGTTTGGATTGAATTGGTTTATATTATGCTTATCAAAATCTTGTTGTGTATTCATAGTTTTTTTTAACTTGAAACGTTGTACTAACATTTAATCTAACAACAGATTAAACGTTGCCGTACTATTTTATTTTGGAACTTTCAGCAAGCTGTGAGGTGAAAGAAGGACTTCAGCAGATGTTGGGAGCTCGGCAGGTTTATGATGTTTCCGCTGGCGATCCTACTTTAACTGAGACAACTTATATGTTGAGATACTGCTCAGAAATATTTGCACACAGAGAAAACGTCAAAAGAATTTTATGGGATGACAATCATAATCCTCTGCTGCAACATAGTTTGGATTCAGATTGTTCTAAATCATTGAAATTCGGTAAACCTTTGTGGATTAGACATGTTTTTAACTGCCCTAATCAACAGAAGTACTTGAACATTGATATGATACAAGCACTGCACTCTCACCTACATGTAAAACAATCAAAACAAAGAGATTTGTCGCTATCTTTAGATTCTTGGATCAATAATTATGCATTACAATGTAAACTCGATGAGTCAGATACAAGACATGTTCAGTCTTTTGATAAGACTGTATCTGAAGTTCCAGCCAGTCACTTGATCAAAAACTTAAAGAATAAATCGAGTAGTGAAATTTTTGAACGAATGCCAATGGAAGAGTTGTTTGATACAAATGATCAGCCTATAAACTACGGTTTGAAATACTTTGAACATGAAACACCTCTGTTGTTAGATAGTACGGAACAGCCTGTAAATTTCTGCCTGAAATATCTGGAAGAAATGGAGAATGAATCGGACACTGTTGAGATGATGTTTGGCGCAGGTGAAACCTGCTATGCTGAAACTGATTTAGATCAACCTGACGAGATGTTTAACTACCTCAAGAAGAATCCAGAACATTGCAGCGAGTCTAAATTCAACCACCTTAACTATGCCCTTAGCTTTTCTGAGGAACTCAAAGAGTACCAGGTTGAAGGAACTCCTTGCGATTATTCTATAGCTACACCACTTTCCGGTATTTGCTCTCCACTTTATGAAGGAGAGGCAAAGGTAGAATCTGGAAAAGTGTCTCCAAATACTGTTCCTTCGAAACAAACTGAAGACAGGAAGAGTGAAGTCTTATTGCTTGAAACACCTCTGATGTTTTCACGTTCAAGCTCATTGAACTCTCTAACTAGTGACGAGCCTTTGAACGATGTCAGATCTTTGATTAGCGATTACAGCAGAATGGCCAGTGGGATGATTTCTCCAAGTGACTTACCGGATTCACCGACTCAAACAACGGCTCCTAGCGTGCACAGTTTCAAACTTCAACCACTGCCGAAACTGAGGAGTGTATTTGAGGAAAAGGTGTCCATTTTTAGAGAAGAAAGTACCCCTATACAGTTCTCCACTACAAGTAGTCTGAGCGCCTTGAGTTTTGACGATAACTTGTTAAATGAAGCATCAAATGAATCGCCACATCTCGAACCCGAAGTTGCTTCCACTGATGGAAATGACGATGACGATATATTAGCTGCTTGTATCAATGCAGGTATGCAGAAATGTAGAGGTTTTGGAAATGTGAAAACCCCTGGGAATCCTAAGAAAATCGTTCAATCTAGTTTTAAAACCACGGAAAAAGACATGTGTAAAATTACTAAGCATATTTCTACTTCAAAAGATCAAGCGTCGGCTGATAACGTAAAAACATATACTACTGAGGATACGTCATTACATATCAGTCACACAACTTCATGCTCTGATTTGTCAAAGCTACCTGAAGATTCAGATCATGCAGACATTCTAGCTGAGTGTATTCAAGCTGGAATGCCAAAAGCAATAGGAAAGTCCAAGTGTAATTCGAAGAAATCACCTAAGGTGCCTTTAAAACTGTCTCTGGTAAAGGGCAATTCACATTTACATAATCAAGCTAAAGCAACGACTTCTGTCGTAGATATCCATGGAAACTCTTTGCCTCTAAAATCAGGATCAGCTGTCAAAATGTGCCATTGTAACCCCAACCTTGTTTCACCAGAATCATTATCAGAACAAATCACAACTGAAGCAGGAATATCACAGTTAGAAGTTAGAAGCGATTCTATGGCGAAACTTTCTCGTCGGTCAAGCATTGAATCCATTAAAGAAGATTTGACTGAAGACCCAGTAACTCTTTCAGAGTTGTTGCTGCTGGAACAATGTATTAGTTCTGGGATGCCGAAGAAAAAGACTAGATGAAACTGCAAACTCTTTTATATTCGTGTTATGTCTGATGTGTAATGAGTTTGTCTTTTTTGTGTAAAGTATGTTAAATTCAAATAATTCAAATGTAAAACTTCCACCTAACGTAAGAGACTAAGTTTTTTCAATGTAGTAGAGTACTGAGAATCGATATCTCAGTTGAATCTTGTAGAATCTTCTATAAACTTGAACACAAACCAAATGCAACTTGGTCCTTGTAGCTGGGGACCTTGTGAACTACCATTACCGCAAGGAACATCCCGAGGCATTGTGTTGTCTGGTCATCGACTGCGGCTACAGTTTCACCAACATCGTTCCATACATTAGAGACAAGAAACAAAAGTTGGGCATACGACGGATCGACATTGGCGGAAAAGTGCTCACCAATCACTTGAAGGAGGTTATATCATACAGGTAAACAAAACTTTTTTATAATATCAGTTTGGATGTGTTGCATAAGATCCATGTGGTAAAGTCTAAAGAAATTACTTAAATAGAAAAAAAACTTTGAAAATGCAAAAGGGGGATCTTATGTTGCTAACAAGGTAACATTAACTAAATGTCCAATGCATTTTTATCTTGGTAGGCCTATGTTGTACAAAGTACAAACCAATTATGAATAATATATACACAGAAGTATAATATATTGTGTTTATTTTAGAGGGAGATACTAAGAAAACATACAAACATATTGTGTAAATACCTGTAATTAAATTAAAATCAATAATGTCACAAATTGGATGCTCAACCCTTCTCGATATCATCTCGTTTGATTTAAATAATACAAATGAAGAATATTTGGCCTATTAGGTGTTGTTGGAACTAGTTGTGTTTTAGCAACATCAAGCATTCCATGTAGGCCTAGGTAATTAGATTACCCAATCTTATAGTTTCTAAATGCAATATAGAGAGTCAAAACGTAAGAAATATTATATAAGAAACGTATATTTTTCCCACATATAGTTGTTAGATTTGGAAGTGAATTCCATCCAGTAATATCTGTTCAAAGTTTCTCAAGATATATTAGTCTGAGTTTTTTATTTCAATTTAACTGATTAAATAAACTTAGAAGTATGCTTATATTTTTCAATTTATATTAGTTTCCAATGAAACCTGGGTTAACCAAAACCATCATCCAAAATTATTAATCAATAGGAAAATTAACTAGGCAAAGGGTATCATTTACCTTGTTGTGAGTAATTGGTTCAGCTCTGCCAAAAAAATTTAATGGAGCAGACCAAGATTTCTCATAGGGTGGTATAAAGGTCAGAAAACTTAACTATTGATTTTAAGAAATAGACTTTGTTTTCTGTATTCAGTTTAGATATAAAGATAGCAATTAAAATAACCCTAACAACTACTGTTCTGTGGATCTCTTTGAATAGACATAACCTTTAAATTCCTACCTTTGATTAACCGAAAAAGTAGGTTGTCCGAAACATCTTTGCCACTTTTATTTCGGTTAGTCCGGGTTCACTGTAGGCCTTTTCCTATTGTGATATAGATAAACAATATAAGTTTTCCCTGGTCATTTTTCAGACAACTACACGTGATGGATGAAACCCACGTGATGAACCAGGTGAAGGAGGACTCCTGCTATGTTGCTCTGGACTTTATGAAGGAGATGGAGATTGCTCGTCAGAAGTTTCCAGAGAATACCATCGCAAGGGACTACGTACTGCCAGACTATACAAGCATACGCAGGGGATATCTCCGTGGACTGGATGAGCCAGACACTGTGGAACAGGTAAAGAGTAACCGGAAAAAAAAATACATTAAGCTACTCATTTGTTTTTGTGAAAATTATATCTTTTATTAGATTGGAATATTTTTAAACTCTTGCGATTTAAGTAATACTCTACTTACAAAACATAGTTGGCTACACTTTTCAGATGACCATTACTTATGGAAAACAATGTCAGCCAGGTGAAGTCCACTTTCTGGAATGCAAGTTTCAGTCCTTCCCTTAAAGTCTTCCATTGCAAATATAAAAGGTTTAATTTACCTGTTGCGTCAATTGATCCTTAGTTATGAAATAACTACGGCCGTTTCGTACTGCTAAACGAGTACATCTTCAGGTTGTCTATGAACGTTAAAATACGGCCTTCTCATCCGCGGGTGGAGTCGTCAGCACATTTAGGACACATAACACAAAACATTAAAATATTTACAATTAAAAACTTGGCCAAGTAGTCCGAACACGAGAGTTACGTAACTGGTAGCGTTAGATGATGAGTCATGACTCCATTGCACGTCCCAGCAGCTCATGGCACCAATTGTTGCCTCTTTTGGGTAAATTAGGTCTTTAAGGTCTGCAGTTCAAGGATTGACAATCCAATAATTGTATTTAAGATGGGAATGATATCATGAATATTTATTAATTATATACAAACTGTTTTTTAACTACCCCTTGAGGCTTTCCCATCAAATTATAACACATTTGGTTTTTACTTTTTGCAAAAGTACTATTAATTTTGTTCGGACAAGAAGAAGAGACAGAATTTAAAAAGAATCTAACCATTATATTGACTTAAGTGGTCCAATGCTGGCCATAAAATAATAATAATAATAATAATAATTTTGTTCTACCTCCACAGCAAACCCTGCGGCTAAACAATGAGAGGTTCTCCATCCCTGAGCTGTTATTCCACCCGTCGGACGTTGGCATTTCCCAGATGGGTATACCTGAGGCTGTAGTGGACTCTATCAACAGCTGCCCTCCCGAGACACATCCCCACCTCTACGCCAACATCGTGGTGGTCGGAGGTTGTGCCAAGTTCCCTGGGATCAGGGACAGGCTATACAGAGATCTGCGGAGTGTCACTCCCGAGGAGTTTGATCTCAACATTTACCTGCCTGATGAGTGAGTTTGCACGTAGTGTGGAGTTTAATGATGTAACATGAACCTCAAGGGCGTAGGTTTTAGGTATTTTGTGGGAATAGCAGGCTTATCCGAATGGAAAAAGAGTCCAAACTGGCAGAAGAGACATAAAAGCTTACACTATACGGATGGCCGAAAAGTCCCTTTACAAAATATTGCAGTACATATTACACTGTTATTAACATGACTGATCAGCAAATATTCGTACGTGAGTAGTAAGGCAACATTGGGGTAGAGAATGAAGCCTCACTCTCCCTTCCCGACCACCGCCACAGCCCTAGGACGCGGCGACGCCCAATAGAGAGTAAGAGCGAGTCACCCCAGAAATGCTGAAACGAATTAGCAAACGAACTTGGAGTCGGTATGAAACAATGTAGGTGTGCATGCCAATGTTTTGGACAAAAAATGATGTTCACTTGGTGTAGTCCACAATAATTGTCTGGTTAAAATAGATTTCTATGGTTTTCATCAACACCAATTGAATTTACCTTTAGTGTAACAATTGGACTTTTCAGCCACCCTGTACATTATATACACAAAACATTTGAATATTTCACTGTCACTGACAGCATTTTCAACTAAGGAAGAGAGAGTTTTCTTCTAGCCCAATGACATCCATACATGTCATGTCACCATAAATGAAGACAACTTTATTTCTCATTCATGTAAGCCTTCTATCCTCACAAAAAAATCCTAAAAACCTCGGCCCTTGTGCTCAATGTTCATACAGGTAGTGTTGTGCTTCGACACCATCTGATACTTTGTTATGTTGGTAGCCCTGTGACATACGCGTGGCACGGTGGAGCTCACCTCAGCCGAGACCCAGAGTTCTACAGCTACGTCGTCACCAAAGAAGAGTTTGAAGAGGAAGGTCACAGTATCTGCTTTGAGAGATTCGACATTTGAATTTCACTAAGAAGACACTAACTTGTCCTTTGGAACCTTCTACTTTGCCAGTGTAAATATTTCATTAATAAATAGTTTTGTACACTTTTCTTAAAATTATTTATTTTACTCGTCAAATTCCCTTGTGTATATAAATTGTTATCGTGAATGAGATCGCAAAAATTTAAGAAGCTTAATATGTTTTAATAACTAGTAATAGAAAATTTTTTCTGTAATCCAGTTTTGTTTTGATGATTTTTATTATATTTGTTTTTATATATTTTGGTTATGGCTGGCAGCGCATTTGTTAATGTTTAGTAAGTAATGTATCCGTGTTAATGCGTATTAAATGTTGCATTTTTGTCTATTGACAATAATGTGTTCTAATATTTTTTATGAAGACAAAATGCTTGAAAATGAAACTATCTAGTTTAGTTTTCAAACTAAATTAGTTAACTTACCTGAGACTTGTATTAGGATTGACAACGTAATGTAAATCGATCTATACTGACATTATTTTTTTTAGAGTATAACTTGTATGAAAGGGGTTTGAACGTTAGAACCTTGACTTATTAATAACGGCTTTCTCTCCAACATCCCTTTTTCACCTGTTCTTCTTAACCGCATTTTGCAATTTAAGTTTTATTGTAAAGTTTATAATCCAGCGCACAGAAAATGGTAGTTAAACTAGTATTTTCCTGCTATGGCTTGGACCTCCCTAGCCATTGATTTATTTATATTGTTTGCTTTTTTAACCAATTTGCTATGTATCTTCAGTTGGATTTTTATCGTTTTTAACAGTTTATGTAAATAAATGATAAACAGGCCATAGTACTTTTATTGATAGTTGTGGTCTGATTGAGTTAGGTAAAATAGCCTTTTATGGTAGGCCTATAGATATTATATAACCGACATATTCAAAATGTGGTAAATTAATTAGGCCTAGTTTATTTACATATTAATATTGTTTAAACAAACATTTATGTTTTATTATACTGTGCTGTTTATTAAAATCTTTAATTTTGCAGCTGCGAAGTTAGCTGATATGACTCAAAAACAAGTTTTCAACGGTATTAAAATGCGCAGTTCGAACATGGGTTGCTTCAAGATCAATAAAACAACCAGTTTTCTTGCTAGTTACAACAAAGTGATATTTTATTATAGCCAAATTATAGATATAAATATATTTTAATGCACAAAATTATCTACGATGTCTACAGCTGTCGGGAACAAAGAGGATAAAGATTGTAACTTCCCCAAACATTAACATTAACAATTAGGTTTTATAATTAACTAAAGCTTAGATGAAACATTCTTGAAGACTAACTAATGAAGTATTCTAAGGTAAACAATTGTTTCATGAGATTTACAAGTTCAGCAATAATTACAGCTTAAAACACTAATATTGTCGTAGTGTATACAGAGTGAGTAGTTACTGATTGTTTTGCATTGTTGTCATTTCTTTAACATTTCATCTTCATTCTTATCATGGGAAAAATGAAAATCCATTACCTAGGCTATCTCTAGTTGTAAGCAAAATAGGACGTTTCCTGACAGTATTCAATATATATTTTTTTACACAAAAAGAAAATGTTGCGAGTTTATTCGATGGGAAGCAGTCAGTAAATAAGAAAAGAAGAAAAGTAGAATGAGATTTTTGTTGGGAATTTCAGAATTTTCTCATCAATGATGTTCTTCTCTAATCTCAATAAAAACAATTTTTATATTTTAGAGAAAACATATATACTGCTTTGGAGACTGATAAATGTTTCAATTTTATTTTATGTCATAAATCTGTACCACCTTCAGTACATTTGCTCATTGATCATAATATTCATAAATAGTTGAATAAGAAACCATAAATAGTTTAGGAGGAGGATTTTTGTTGTTTATTGGGTTAGGCAACAGTTTAGCTATCAAACTAGAGGCAGTGGGCTTAGACAAACTCACTTAGGTCACATAACACATAACATTGACACTTCTCACCTATCTATTCTTTGAAGAATTCCTTTACTAGGTCAAAATATAGTTGCTCAATCTGCGATCAATGTGATAATTTTTTGTGTATTTACTAACTCTTTTACAGTACTTAAATTATCTCAAGTAAAAGCTCAAGTAAGTAGCTCTATCCCTGAAAAAAACAAAAAAAATCCTCAATCATCAGTGGCTTTCCCTCAAAACATAATTTCTTATCTCACCCTTTCAACTATTCCCCTTTAATCTTTCTCCTTCTCTACGCTTGTTTCTTTGGTCTCGAGTTGCTCGTGAGGTTCGCAGTCCGTGTTCAGTTGTAGTCCGGTGTGAAGCATTTTCTCGATGCTCTCCACGTCCACGGTCTCGTCGTGTTCGTGTATTTTGCGTAGTGCGTTGCTCACAATACAAAGGTCGCCTCGCAGCTCCGAGACTATTGCTGCTATCTTCTGTGCGTTAGTGAGAACCTCAACACTCTGGGTGTACGGGTTGTAGCGCACTCCGAAGGGTCTTTGGATTGTGTTAGCAAACGCCCTGTAACAAGTGTTTTTGAAGCATTTACGTTATCGTGCAATATAAGAGATGTTGAATGGAGGTTGAATATTATTTCGGGTGTTTATTTCTACTACTTAAATTGTTAGATGTTGGTTTAGGATATAAAAGATATAAGTCTTAAGGATTTAATTAATCTCTATTTAGTTACTGCGGTAATATTCAAAGCTTTCACATTCAAAATCAAGCTATTACCCTGTACATGGGTGCAAAATCAGGGGAAAGAAAATTAGAGGCGGCTAAATAGTAATGTATGTGGTGAAAATTCTTTATACATTTTCCGGTTGAAAATGATGAAGTGTTTATTAGGAAACTATTATAAGAAATTCTCCCTGAACTGAATTTACTTCTAACTTCTAACTGATGAATACAACTGTTACTCAAGAAACATATTTTTGAGGATTTTTTTTAAAGCATTTATTTATGGTTCAATGATAACATTACTGAGTGAAAATTTAAAAACGTACGTTTTTATGTCCCTGGCCTTTTACTTCGTAGATACTGGATTTGTAGTTTATTATTATGTGTTTTAATATTTTTTGGGACGGGGGCAACATGTTACACACATTTATTTGGTTTTAAATAGGTTCTAGGTATTTTTTTCGTATTTTTAAAGTCTCGAAATTCACGACCATGACGTGTCCCTAGGGTACATTTTCCAACTTTCACGCTGTTTTTAGACTAATTATTCATGCCGAAATATATAAAGCCATATTTTTATGTCATCAATGGTTATTAAACTTACAAAAAAGGAGCATATTATAATTTTATTGTCATTGCAGACTGACCACCATGACAAAATAAGTCTGTCCCTCGATTTGGCGTCACGACCATTTGGGAAAAATTTTCAACTTTGGAGCACGACAGTGGCAAGCCTGGCGTCGATGGAGTCAGTTGGTTTTAGAGACTAGTTCGGGGTGTACGTCAGGATTGTAGTGCCGGTCGTTTTGAGTTGAAAGAAGGAATTACAAGATTAATAAAGGAAAGATTGTGTTTTTTGTAATTTTGGTGTGTCCATGACCGTACGTAGCCATTCGATGAAGTAGACATGGTGTTAATTTTTGTTTATAAGATATTTCAATTGCTAGATTAACCTAGAAGTCCACTTTGTATCCTCGAACATGAGGTGCAGGGCTACCGCCAGAACAGAGCCAAATAACACGTAATTTCACGACCAAAGTTTCACGACCATCGCGGTTTTTTTCACGACCAATCCAGCCTTATGGATTATAGTGTGTTTGGTCGTGACAATAACTTTAGTATAATTGTAAATTGAACAGTTTAGTTCAATTGAAACACATAGTTTTATTATAACTAACAGTATAATTGAAGGATTGTTTGGAAAGATTTAGATTATTCCAGACAATTCACGACCGTACCGCTTGTCCCTGACCATCACGTTTATGATTTCTACCATAAAAATTTCAAAAATTAAAATATCGTCATATTTAAATGTTTTATACACAAAAGAAGCACACCTCTATACAAACATAACGATTTTTCGGGTCTCAGGTAAGTTTTTTCGGAGTAATACAAACTTAAAAAGATTTTATTGGCTTTTTTCTATTTTTTGAGTTTGTTTTATTTTTTTCTAGAAAGACCAAATATACCAAAAGCTCAGTGACCTTTTTATTGTATAATGGTCATAAAAGTAAACTAGTTTATAGCAAAACATAGTTATAAAAATAATATTAACTATTTTAAATATTCATTTAAACGTCCGTTATGGTCGTGACAGGATTTTGTGTTTTTCTACTAAAGATGCTCTTTAAAAAGAAAACTACCAAAGATATTGCGTTACCATGGACATTTTATGAAACTTCAAATGTTAATGAAATAAAAAAAATAATAAAAGTTTTGAAAAAAGGGGGAAAAAATTTGCAAAGTGCTTTTCCTGAAAACGTACGTTTTTAAATTTTCACTCTACTCACAGAAGTATTAACAAAATATACAAGAAATTAACAATAATAACATCGTGGGTTCGCCCAGACCTGAGACACCTTGTAACATAATTAATTTAGAGAAATATATTTAATCTTCTTTAGGCTTGATTCATCCGATAGATCTTGAGGGAGCCGTCGACGTAGCCTCCTGTTCTCAGTTGCTTTGCCAAGATGAAAAGTTAATGCACCAGCAACATTGTTTAAAGATTTCAGAAATTTTGAGGTGGTTTTTTCAATAATGGCCAAAATAGACTCCACTCCTAGCTCTTCATGTATATGCCCGTTTCTAACAAACCAGGGAGCATTCACTGCTATTCTTAGAATTTTGTTTTGAATCACTTGAATTTTGAAGAGTTTTTTTTTTGATATAGCCAATCCCCAGATGGGAGATGCATATGTAATCAAAGGCCGAATTATTGATTTGTAGATTAGAACTGTACAAGCTGGCTTCAAAATAGATTTCCTATTGATTAAAGGGAAAAGCTTTGCAAGGCGTGCATAACCTTGGGACAGTTTTTTATTGACGTGGTAGTTCCAATTAAGTTTTTTGTCCAGCCATACTCCAAGATATTTTATTGCCTGGTCAACAGGGTTCCAAGGTAGAAAGTTACCATATATTTGAATTTCATGTGGCAATGTATTTTTTTTCAAGGAGAATATTTTGGTCTCACATTTAGTTGAATTTAGGTAAAATTTCCACTTGTAGAACCAATCAATGAGAACATCCACAGAGTATTGCAGAGAATACGTGGCCTGGTGGATGTTGGAATGTTGGCACAGGATAGCAGTGCCGTCGGCGTAGAGAGCTAATTAGGCGTCTTCTGGAAGAGGGATGTCTGCCATATACAGATTGAACAATACAGGGCCCAATATTGAACCTTGTGGAACTCCTGCATTGACTGGTCGAATAGATGATTTTGAGGAACATATTTTAACAGAGAAGGTCCTGTGACAAAGAAACAATTTTACAATATCGGTTAAATATTTTGGAAATCCAAAATGAATCAATTTAAACACAAGACCGTCATGACATACCTTATCGAATGCCTTTTTGAGGATTAAATTTATTTGTGCGTAGTTTTGTAGTAAAATATTTGTTTCGCTTGGTTATACAGCTGTTTTCCCCCGTACCTTCATTTTTAACCTGTTAGCTGTATGTACATCATTTTATTTCATGACAATTCAATGATCGCAATACATCTTAGCCAGATTTTACTGATATAGTTACCCTCACCGTGTTTCAAACGTTGTCTGATGTTGAATGCTGGTCTTGAAGGATTTTGAGTGCGTAAACATTAGCTTTATTTTCAAGTCTGACTTGGCTAAGGCACTTTTATTTTGTTTTGACCCAAACCTCAACCGTTAAATGGCATATGTTTATGTTACTGTCAGAACCTCAACCTATAGACTTTTTCTGATGTGTCTCTTAAAACGACCATTTCATTTTTGTGTGGGAGCTGACATGGCTGGTGTAGTTGGTAATTTGACTTCTTGCACGGCTGTTCTGAACATCATTGGAAATAAGCTGCTTAAAGTCTTAATATTGCTAACGCCTATATAATTTTTCTATAGGTTCAAAGTTTTAAACCTGAGACTGATTTGTTTTTGTGTAGCAGCTATAAGACAGCTGGGAGATCACAAGTAGTATGATCCTACCATCAAACGTAATTTAAGCACTACTCCAGGAAACAATAACAAAACTTCTTCTATAATCAAATTGAAAGCCCAACAACCAAAGTTGTTTCCAATTCCGAGCTACAAACTCAAAATATCTGACATCCCTTACCTCATCTTCTCAGTAGCCTCCTGGAATGAGTCGGTGTAGTAGTAGTGATTCTGGTATGCTGTAATGATACATTCCTCATGTACAGTCACCTCGGGGTCAAACCGTTTGATCTTGTCAGTGGCCGCAACGGCGTGTTTCAACTCTGCAATGGACGAGAGCAAACCAGCTCCGTACACTCTCAGTTGGCCGTCCTGCTTACACATGCCAAACTCCACCGTGAAGAAGTATAACTGAGAAAGAAAGATGTTAAATAACGTTAAAAGTGTGAAACTTTGTCAATGGATATTGATTTGTGAAGATTGAGTAAAACCATTCACTAAGAATCGTAGACATCCCAAAGCATTTGAAGGTACATTGTCATACCTAATAATAATGGAAATAATGGATAATGGAGATATAAAAACTATGTATAGTGAAAGGTATATCTTAAAATCAGAACACGCTTACAATGATGAAGAGATTGTCAAGAAAAAAATTATGAAAGAGGAAATTGAATTTAATAAAAATAATAGTCAACAACTCCTACCTGTTAAAACCAACTTACTGTAGCAAGTTTCTGTACATCACTGTCAGAGGCTCCCAAGGAGGTAAGCCCGAGTTCTTGTGAGAACTGGGCAAAGCCTGCGTTGGCTAGTAGAGGCATGTGGCCCAACAACTCATGGCAGCAGTCCCTGGTACAAAGATATTACAAGGTTGAACAAATACAATCTCAGTTTGTTGGAACAGAACTGTAAAGAAGAAAACAAAGCTTTTGACAGTTTAACAATTTTAGGGTAAAAAAAGAGAATCGCTATTGTCTTGATAATTTTTGAATACCGGTAATCTTTTTAACAAATTCAGTAAAATCTTAATTAGCCAATAAATTGTTTGACTATTCAAAAATACTAGCATTTAATAATTCTGTTATGGGTTGAGTGGCGTTTTCAAGTTGATACTTGTTCTAATGCTTGAGTTGGAATTTACAATATTTCCTCTAAAATATGCGTGAGAACTGTTCAATATGAAGTTGTGACTTCTAAAATAACTTTAGGTTGACTTCTGAAATTCCATGTGACATTATGATGTAGAAAAAAGGCAAATTTAGGTGGTTTTAGCGAATTTCCCTATAGGGAAGTAGCTATTACCGTAGGTCTCATGGTAAGACCTAGGCCCGGGACCGATTTACTTTTTCATTTTGATGTCCCCAGAGGCCAAAAACACCATTCGTTCAAATTTTTATATATCTACTAGCTGTTGTACCCGTGCTTTGCAACGGGAAGTGGACACAAAATAGAAACATTTTAATCTTTACATCTGTTGCATATGATAGTTACACATCCGCCAATGATCTTAGAAACAAAATTCAACTTTTATAGCCTTAATAAAAACGTTTAAGTTATATGACTTTAAAATCTGGTAAGTAGTGGATACCACCATTTTGGTTTTGATTAATTTTAAATCTTGTGTAGGCTGATATGAGAAAAACTTACCAAATCTTCGAATAAAACATTGACATACATGATGTTTCATTGCATCTCTGATTCTACTCTACAAAAATATCAACAAACAACTTAATATACATACTCGTTCTTTTAATCAGTTCCATTGTTCCATTGCCTTTACATTTTCACACTTACCATTAAGTAAACATAGTACCAGATATTTCATTGATTTTAGAAACAAAAGAATACTGTGTACTGCTTAGTTTTATGACATTTTCCTTGGTTTAATTTAATCAGTGGTATGGCAAAACACAAATAATAAATGTATCAAATAAAGTAAATGTGAACTAAAAGCTATGTTAAGATAAAATAAGAGTATTTTGTATTAGCATTTGATATTTAAATATAGTTACCTATATACAACAGATTTTAGAAAACAAAAATCAACGTACAATTTAGTTATTGATGATATTCTTTAGTTTAGTTTAAGCATGGGTTTAGCAAAACACAATAACTTAATTTACCTAAATATACATATAAAAAACAATGTGATGTGCAAGTTATGTAAAGTTAATCTAACACATGTTAAGCAGTTAGAATTTATTTAAAGTAGCCTCCAAATCTATATAAAACATCTATATTTTGTAATTTTAATACTGTTTCCATGAAAACATATCAATAACATTATTTTCATAACTTTAGACGCTTTAAAAAATCCAAAGCAGAGCCGGAGTTGGTACAGCAACGGTTATAGAATCTTTTTAGCGAATTTCCCTATAGGGAAGTAGCTATTACCGTAGGTAGCACGGTAAGACCTAGACCCGGGACCGATTTTCTTTTTCATTTTTATGTCCCCAGAGGCCAAAAACACCATTCGTTCAAATTTTTATATATGTATATATATAGACATATATATATATATATACGTCCGTGAACGCGATAACTTGAGTAATTTTTGTCCGATTTTGATGAAATTTGGTTTAAAGGTGTAAAGCAGGATAAACTTGAATGAGTTCGCGAACCAGCATGATCGGACCTTGGGAACGGGGCTTTACGGGGGGTTTTATGGGGTAAAAATTGGTTTTTCTCACTTTTGACCCTCAAAACACAAAATTTCCTAATTTCTCTATAGACCTTTTTAAAGAGCTTAAAAAAACAATTAATTTAGTATATAAAAGTATTTTTGTTCGGTTAATAGTAACGGAGAAAATTAAAAAAATTGTAAATTTAAAATTCCCATGTTATTCTTATGGAGAATATTGTCAAATGTTGTAGTTTGCTTGTTTATGGATATATTTTGTATTTTGATCAAATTTATTTATTTTGTACTAAGCTATCAATATTTTACAAAAAACACAATTTATTAGTTTCCTTGTAGCAGCAAACCTAGGTACTCGTTAAACCTAATGTTATTAAAATATATTTAATTGAAAATCAATTCAGACAAAATGGAAATTCGCTTAGTCGGCAGGTTTGCTGCGGCGGGGGTATTTTTCTATAATCATTGACATAGTTTTTAGAATAAATAATCCATGATAAAAGGTTAGATTAAGATAAACCTACCTCATAGTTATGGAAAATATTATATTTAATTTCTTTGTATCAGCTGTCTGAAATTGTAAAATATGCAGTTTAGCAGATCTTCTTGTTTACATTTAAATGTCAAAGCAAATGTAAACAAACATTGTTAGTGTTCTCATCACAGCCATGGAGACCAGACCAATCAATATTTACTTTTATAATGTTCACCTCAGAACTTTTAAAGCCAAAGGGGCAAAACCTACTGCCAGCATCGAAATGTGAATAGTCCTATAATGGTCCTTGGTATGGTAGCTATATTTTTGTATAATTTAAGCCCAGTTGGTTCAGTAGTTTTTGCACCTATTAGTAATACACATACAGACAGACACCGTTAGATTTTTATATAATAGTATAGATATATAGAGATACATATATATGTGTCCATCCGCACGATAACTTGAGTAACTTTTGTCCAATTTTGATAAAATTTGGTTTGAAGGTGTAAGGCGGGATAAACTTGAATGAGTTCGCGAACCAACATGATCGGACTATGGGAACGGGGGTTTATGGGGGGTTTTATGGGGTAAAAATAGGGTTTTTCCCATTTTTGACCCTAAAAACACAAAATTTCACAATTTCTTTTTAAACTATTTTGTAGAGCTTAAAAAAACAAATAATTTAGTATATTGAAGCGTTATTATGCGCCTAATTGTGGTACGGAGAAAGTTCAAAAAAATTGTAATTTTAAAATTCCTATGTTATTCTTATGGAGAATGAGTCAACTGTTGTAGTTTGCTTGTTTATGAACATATTTTGATCATATTTGGAAAATACATTAATTTCTTACTAAACCACAGTACCTTTTAACATTTTGCATTAAAAAAAACTTTTTTACCCTCCCTGTTGCAGCAAACCTAAGTACTCATTAAACTATTTCTGTTTAAATAGGGAATAAATGTGATATTTTTAAGGAGACATTTTAATTTAAATCCAATCAGGCAAATGGAAATTCGCTAAGTCTGCAGGTTTGCTGCGGCGGGGGTATTGTTATAAACAGTAGTTTTATATGGATTAATTAATAACATTAAGTGTTATTGTATTTTCAAGAGAATTTGAAAACTTGTAATTGACGTTGTTGTGTTGTTGAGTGTCGTGTGAACCAGGTTCTACTGTATGTTGTGAACTGTGAAACCATAGGTAAATGTTTGTTGGGTTCAGAGGATACTTACGGTTCAGGAGTGTAGTAAGGGTCGGAACTGTGGCGGATGTACTGAGTGCAATGGAACACTCGGAAAGCGAGTCCTGCGAGGAAGTCTCGCGGGGAGAGATAACCTGCGACTGGTCGCAGCTGGAACCCTGTCTTCCCTGGAGAGTAAAATAAAACATCTTGATATGGATGGAAAATACTTTAAAAATCATAAATAGATATGCATTTTTAGCATGGAAAAATTACTCTTATTACAATTGTTGGAAAATTGTTTCACACAATCTACTATAGGGCTGTTCCTAATTATCGTCCCCATCAGCCTACCATCATGGACAAGTGAGCCAGTTAAAATCTGAGTACGAGGCCACATTCTTTACTTAATCCACTGATATTATAGCCTGTTCCCATCCCTACGCTACAAGCCCTGTCATGGTAAAAAAACTATGTGAGTGAAATCAACTCTTCCCCCAAGTATGGATTGTATTCTGTAGTTACTTATATGAGAAAGGAGTCAGTTCCTACTGATTTGAATTTCCAATGGACTTTTGTGTATGCCAAAAGTGTTTAGTGTTTAATAAATGTGCCTGAGTGGCTTAGTGAGTTCGTAGAAGGTCTTACTTAGCAAATGTCACTGGCAGCAGATGTTTATTAGTTTTAATTGAGAGTGATTCTGGTAGAGAATACTTTGTCTGCTGGGTTTAACACTACCAGGGCTTACCATTGCTTGATAATCTTACATCCCCTGTTAGTTTGTCAATCCTCTTATTCAGTTATACTGCGATGATGCAAAATCCACTGCCTGAAATCCAGCTGTCCTTGATCATGCTTTTAATAAATGGTCCTGGCTAATGAAACAGCTGGTCTTAGTCAAAAACAAAGCTAAACAAGATATCACACTTCATTCTACACTCATCTTCACTCATATATGAGTTAAAATACACACCTAGGCGATGGTCTGCAGCTCAATTCACAATATCATTGATACAAGACTGATGAACAAGAGCTCATTGGAAACCTTACAGATAAGAGTACAAAGCCTACCTACTTTGGAAAATTGGTAAAATATATACAAACTTTTAAGAAAGACATTGAGATCTTGAAGCTGAGGGATGTTGTCTTCCCTGTATCCGCAATACTTGACCAGTTCCGGCCAATTCTCCAGGTACTCCCGACATGCGTGCTGCTTGTATAGCTTATGTAGCTCGCGGAACACCACACCCCTATATAATAAATATTATTGCAATAGTTGATTTATTTCTTTCAAACAATATATCACTCTGTCTACCACCCCATTTTAATAAATATGAAGGGATCATAGCAGCAATTGCTGCTTTATAGTTACGTATACAAATTTAAAAGAAATACACCCTTTTTTACACATTTAGTCGCAGTCTTCCCCCAACACGAAACATTTCAACATTGCATTGCCATTCCAACCTGAAAACCGAACATTAAAATCAATAAACATACAAATACGCAATGTTTATATCAGCTGGTATGTTTAAAGCAGCTTACAGAAACACTGTAGCAGTACTTCCATTAGAAAATGACCGGATCTTTGACGGCTTGTGTGGTGTAGAGCAGGGGTAATTTTTTACTCTTCTGATAATTTCCCCACCGTCCTTGGACCTTAGGCTTTAAAATGAATACTCAACAGCCAAGCTACCTTTTACCTAGCTCGAGATATTTTGTGGGGACCGATTCGCTTACGGAATATAATATATATGTAGATATTTTATTGAGGGGATCGCGCGAAGCTCTTATACTACACTCCAGCTTTTGTTTTAAAAATACTCCTCCTGAACGGCTGAAGCGATCTGCACGGAATTTAGCAGTCATAGTAACCGACTATAGGAAGGTATGAATCTGAAATGGTACAAATCAGACTGCAGGCCTTTCCCCTACGTGAATTTAAAATTTTAGAAATTTAACATGAGCCTTATGTTGATTGGTGCCATGACAGTAAAATGCAAGATAAAAATAAAAAGGTAAAAATAAGAGATGTAACATATAGGCCAGTCATATAGTACATTAAAATCGCAAACTATCGGCTAGTTCTGATTTTTTAATATGTTGTTAGGACCACTACCAGTAGTATATATCCAAGTTTGCAGCTTCGAAAGACCTGTGCTAAAAGCGTGCACTCGAAAAACCATCTAATTTTAGCATTTTTTTAGTTTTCTTCTCTATATCTCTTAAAATATGGGACTTGCATAAAACATGTTAATTACATTTTTAAAGTGCATTAAATTTCCTAAAATTTGAGACCAAAACCAGCTCTGTAGATACAGTAGTTATTAAGATACAGCCCTCCAAAAGTTGGAGATTTTTTTCTAAAAAGTAACATTTTAAGGTTTGGTCAACTTCCAGCCCCAAAATCAGGGAAATTACCTATTTAATAAGAAAAGCCTTTGGTAAAGATCTTGTAGCAAATTTTATGAGTTTTAATTTAAGCCCAGAATGATGTATGTAGGCCTGATAGCCATTTCACAATGCTAAAATATATAGAAATTTGAGAAAACAAAATGTCTTTCGCAAATTTGCTATGTTGAGATCTCATGATGGTTTGATGGTGGTTGGAAATAAAACCCAATTTTATCCAAAATAAATATATATTCAGCCTTATAATAATGAACAGTGTTTAAAATAAATAAAATATGCATATATGTACAAAGGATATTGTTGGGTTAGAATACTGTAGTTCATTTTGCCCGCTTCCTGGGTGGTTCAAATTTGTCTGATTCAGTTTGAAAAATAGGTACCGGTAGTTGATCGTCGTCGTCATCTTCTTCGGCAATCTGAACCACGGTGCCGTTTTGGCAAGAGACGCCGGAGCAAAATTTGCAAAGTGCCGAGCATTTGAGCCCTGCTTTTAGGCACGTACAGCCACCTCCACTACAGCCTTTCTTGCACCCGCATGATATAAATTTTAGAAGGGAGGGGGGAGCCACTTCATTCATCGTTCTTATTGGAATGAGCCCCTGGTCTGTCTTCTTCCATCCCCATTGGGTGGCATCTTTTTCCACCCCAAACCACATCTGAACTTGGTGATAGGTTCGAAAGGTGTGGAATTTTGCACCATCTTCTGTTAGAGGCAAACGGGTGAGGTCAACCTTAGCAGAAGCGGCAGTTTTTACAAAGATTTTGTAGCGCAGTCTCTGGAGGGTATCCACACTGTAGTCTCCTCCATACAGACCTACTAGGCACTTTGCTCCGGCATTTGAGATGGCTTGGTGGGTGGAATTTGGTTGGAGGAAAACTTCAGCTGTGGTGATAAGTTCAGGATATTTCTCGAAGGCGCTCCACAGTTTATTCTTCCCGTACCCAAAAATGGCAGAGGTGGTGTCACATCCGGTGAAGGCGTGGAGAAATAACTCAAACCCTGAGGGGACTTTCAAAACTCCATGTTTGAATGAGGTTGACGAATACTGTAAGGGACCACATTCACCTCTGCCACTTTTCTGGAAAAAAACGTTCTTCACAGCTGATCCCAAACCATTGAGAATAACGAGGAGGTCCACATCCTCTCCAATGATTAGCACAGATTTTAAAGAGGTGCTTTTGTCAAGTGCCAACTTGACGATGTCGCAGTCAGCATCCTCGACTGCCTGCTTCGTCTCGATTCCCTGTCTTTGGAAGGCGGAGCATATCAGAGAAATCAGTCGTCGTTTGTTTCTGTCGTTGGCCAGCAACTTCTCCTGGGCCATTTTTATGGTTGTCGACTCTTCAAAGATTATTTCGTTGCACTGCAGAGAACCATAGCGCCTTATGCGTTCGGCAGTTTTTGTTTTCATCTCTGCCCCATCCTCAGGATATCCGTCAAACACCACAGCAACGTTCCGTCCGAAATGATTAAGTGTGTAGCTGACGTACCCGTCGACAATCCCCCTTATAGAGTCGTTACGATGCCATATCACCTTGTGCAATAAGTAACCCCCATCTACCACAACAAACGTGTTGGCTGCTACTGAGATATTTTGAGGGAGCGGAGTGAAAGCTGAGAAGAACTTTGATTTTGTTCCTTTGCGCATACCCTCTTCTGTGAACAATGCCATGGGGTACGGAGCCAACTCGTACTTGAAATGTTCCATCAACTCTTTGTCTGACTGTTTGATGATACACAAACGCTGGAAGATAGTTAGTGGCTCTACATCCACACGTTTGTCTCTTACTTTGATGGAAGTGCTCATTGATGCTAAAGTTTGCACTTTGTCTTTTCGCTTGAAGGAAACCTTTCCAAATGAATTGCCTGATATATTCTTGACACCTTCTATTCCCATTTCTCGAGCCATGTGGCAATTAATCTCAGGGGCCCCAACTATTCCACTGCTGATGGAAAGCAGTTTGTCTGTCAATGGAAATGGAGGGTGTATGTCAAGGTAGTGCTTCAGTTTTTCCACATCAATAGCGTCTCTTTCAATCTGTGCTGCTCTCATATCAACGTGCTGCTCACTGGTTGTACACGAAATGTCCCAATACCTCTCTAAGCTCTCGCATATATTGAGCATGAACACCATGCCTCCAGTCCATCGTGAAAGAACGCTACTTGATATCCCCCGACCATGGGTCAACCCTCCCTGGCTTTTCATTGACCTCATCAATACTTGTTCTATGGTCAAATCTGACCATAGTCCCGACCACAATTTGTCTGAGCGGCGAATCGTAAAAGCTCCTTTTGTGAACATGCTCCATTCATTTGGGTCCATCTTCTCTTCTAAACCTTCCATGTCTTGTAGGTACAGCCTAGCACTTTTTGCATAAAAAAAGTGACCTGCAGAGTGGAAAAAGGGTAGCATTTTTCCAATTGTGGTTAGGTGGAGCTTCCAATCCCCCATCCTTTCAGCTTGGACGAATTGCTTCATTAGCGTGGTCATCCGAAAATACTGAACCCACAGCTTTGATGTTGGGCCATTTGCTTCCATTTTATCCAGGGCAGTTTTAAATTTGGCACTCAAAGTCTGTAATATTTCACTGTCTTCCATGAGGAGAATTGTCGACCTGTCACTGTCACACAGGATCCTATCCATTTCAGCTTTTTCTTCCTCCGTGAAGTGAACCTCATCAGTTAAAATCAGGTGAGCAAGAGCTAAGTTAGTGAGCATGTGAGCTCGTACAGCCCTAGAATAGGCGTGACCATTGAGGATCTTGTCTACACTGTTTTCGGCGTATATGGTGAACAGCAATTCCTTCAGGCCACTACCTGCCATTATCGCGCCGATGCTCCCCATGTATGACATTAACAGGTGGAAGCCACCAAGACGCACCACTACATTACTTAACTCAGGATGCGGGCAGCTTTGAACGATATCTCGGGCTTTCATGTAGAGGGGTTGGTCGAAAGTGACGAAGCAAGTTTTCTGGGAGTGTGTCCTGCTTTTTTGACTGGCCTCAAGCAGAGCTGTCATAATGGTGTCATAGTCGGTGGGTGGGGCGTGAATAAATGGGAGGAAAACAATCTTGGAACGATCGAATTTAAGGTTTTCTGTTACCTGCTCCATGAACCCATTCCAGCCTGGTACTTGTGGTAAGTGAGACACTTTTCCGTACAACCATAACAAGTCTGTTGGTGAGGGCAGGATTTCACCAGCAACTTGGAACATCTCATGTACATCAGTGATAGGTATAGCTGACAAACCAGCATTCTTTCTTACGTTGCACTGTTTCACATCTGATAGATTGTAAGAAGCAATTGTGTCAGCAGAGACATAGCTCTTTAAGCGCGGGATTATCTTACCGGGCATCACAGCAGTATATGGAGTGATAACCATGATGCCGCCCATCTCATGAAACGTGTTTTCTCCATCCAAGGTGTTTACATTAAAGTCTGCATTGTCAAATGTGAACTGCATGAAGGATCCTTTTTCAATGTGGGGTGAGGATTCTCCATGTACAATGGCTGAGCTTTCGATTCGCACTGCTTCACTGTAACTACATGAAAACCCCATTGCAGAGCAGAGGTTAATGAGATGTTTTGAACCAAACTTCCTGTATAGGTATGTACCAAAACTGGTCTTCAACGAAGAAACGAAAGACGTTGGCCTTACTGCAGATATCAGTAAGTGAGCAAATCCCACACATTTCTTTCTCCAGTCTTCAAGCCCCTTACGTTTATTTTTTAGCACGATAGTTTCGAGCAACAGCTTCACAGATTCAGGAATGTCAGAGTCAGCATCTTTTAAGAAATTATCGGATGGAGGATACTCACTGACGTTATATACCACTGAACGAATGTCTTGCACAAGTATTTCTGCAGCAGCCTTCACCACCCTTAGTCGCTCTTCTTCAGGGTTACTTTTTCTATCATTATACCAGGTATCGTACAGGATCTTTTTCCCAATGTCACGAAAACAAAGAACTGTTTGATGGCTGCGGCCACGGCCAATCTCAGAGAACATTATCATGTTTCCAAAATGTTTTTCAAGATGACTTTTGACGGTTCTGACATCAGGCTTGAACTCGCATTTGATCTGGGCCATTAGGTCGTTTAACGAGAACTGGCATTCATCTCTGTTTTCGGCCAGGAAAGAATATATATAGTCCATACTCTCAGTGATGTTATTTGGCTCAAAATGTCCTCTTTTGAGTGCAATGCTTGGTGGAGGTTTGTAAAGTTTAAGGCGGCATTGGCTGTGGTACCTAGCACCAGCTGCAACTAGGTCATTTACAGAAGCAAGACGATGAATAATTAGCTGTGCCCATTCATCCCCTCGACGCCCAGCTGCTTCAAGGATGGTCGCCCTGACGTTCAGAGATTCAACAGTGTGAACAATATTCCGTCGAGAAACTGGTAGTTTTTTTTGGAGGTTGAGAAATTCTGAGGTGATTTCGTCCCCACAGAGGAAACAAATTTTTTGCAGGTTACATTGTCCTGAAGAGCCTCTTGATCCTCTGGATGTTGATGGTTTAGGAGCTTCATCACCACCACGGCGAACCGATGCTACAATATTACTTTCAACCGTGTATCTCTTTCTGCATGTGTCGTGAATACCAACTTCATCCAACCCTTGCAGAAACTGTTTATTATGCAGTAGGCCACGTTTGTCACTTACTTCAATTAAAGAAAGAATCCCACGTGTTTTAACAACCACAACTTTACCTTCATCAAGTGTATTGTTACAAATAAAACAACATCCCGGCGGAGCCGACATTATTTCATTCGCGCACAAACTAATCACTTACTCCAGTTAATTATGGTACTTGTTTACATTACAATAATGGGATTTGGTATGCATTGGTATTATCATATGTTGTAAAATACAAACACCTTAAATAGACAACAATTGGTTGTCTGGTAAATTGAAATACCTGTCAGCTGTACAGCTATACAACACCAGCAAAGCAGGTGTACCAATATAAACTTAAAACAAAACAAAATATCTACTAATAACAATGGGAATAACTAATGGCTTGGAGGGACCTTAGCCCATAACTTCAAGTACACATGTCGGTTCGAAAACAAAGCAGCTGTTTTTAAATCCCTATGCTTTTCTTATGGGGGATATTTTATGTAATATCTAGTTAACTGATAACTTTTTAGAAATGCCACTATCTTTTCCAAAGTAACTGGGATCGAGACCTGTGATTTGCCAAAATCACACAATATTTTTACTTAAACACTTTGCTTGCAGAATTATATGTTGGATTATTATGGTAGCCTAGCAATAAATCAAGCTATTAAAAATCAAGTACCTACTTTAACAAAAATACAGTTTCCCATTATTTTTATTTATTAGCGTTATGAGAGAACTATCAGGCCGAGAGACGTCGTTTTGTGCTTAAATTAAAGCTAATTAAATGTACTAAAACATCTGTTCCAAATAACTTAAGTCGTAAATGAGTATTATCTCCGATTTTGGTGTTAAAAGTTGACCAACTCTTAAAATTTAATTTGTTTACAAAAAATTGTAAATCATTTGAGGGATGTATATTGGTAACTACTGTTCCTACAGAGGTGGTTTTGGTCTCAAATTTTAGGAAATTTAATGCACTTTAAAAATGTAATTAACATGTTTTATGCAAATCCCATATTTTAAGAGATATAGCGAAGAAAACTAAAAAAATGCTAAAATTATATGGTTTTTCGAGTGCTACGCTTTTAGCACAGGTCTTTCGAAGCTGCAAACTTGGAAATACACTACTGGTAGTGGTCCTAACAATATAATAAAAAATCAGAACTAGCCGTGTGTTTGCGATTTTAGCTATTTCTAGTGTACTATTTGACTGGCCTAATATGTTTATCAATCATCTCAACTAGCACATTACAAATACAGAACACCCTAGAGGCCAAAAACACCATCCGTTCAAATTCATATATGTGTCCGTTAGCACGATAACTCGAGCAAAAATCATCCGATTTTGATTAAATTTAGTATAAAGGTGTAAAACTACTTTTATTCTAACAAGTTCGCGAACCAGCATGATCGGACTATAGGAACAGGTGTTTATGGGAGGTTTTATGGGGTAAAAATAGGCTTTTCTAATTTTTGACCCAAAAAACATAAAATTTGGCAATTTCTTTCCAAACCATTTTGTATAGCTTAAAAAAATAAATAACTTAGTATATTGAACCGTTATTAAGCGCCAAATGGTTACGGAGAAAATTCCAAAAAACTGTAAATTTAAAATTCCCATGTTACTCTTATGGAGAATAAGTAAACTGTTGTAGTTTACTTGTTTATGAACATATTTTGATCAAATTTGGAAAATGCATTTATTTACTAAACTATTAATATTTTACAAAAAAAAAAAAAACACTTACCCTCCCGTCCTCCCTGTTGCAGCAAATCTAAGTACTCGTTAAACTAATTATATTTAAAGAGGGAATAAATGTGATATTTTTAAGAAAACATTTTAGTGTAAATCCAATCAGACAAATGGAAATTCGCTTAGTCTGCAGGTTTGCTACGGCGAGGGTATTTGGTATTTACCGTGCCTCAGGTAACACCCAATTTCCTTTACACTAAATTACCATAAACATACGTAATTAAAATAAACCGAATCCTAATCCAAGTCAGATGTCCCGGAGTTTAGAGTCAAAGTTGTCTCCGAGACACAAGTTGTGATCGCATTTCCGTCGCTGAATCGCACAATCACACCAATTAGATCAGCTGCTATCGCGCCGTGCCGCCGTCAAACAAACCCAATTAAGCCCTTCTTTCCAGTTGTTTCTTGAAAGCGTTTTGTTGCTTCTTCAACTATAAACGTCTCCGAGCTTCCTAGTTACAGTTGTGTCTATTTTGGACTTGGTCGAAGAAGGAAAATTAGGTGTTTCGTTTGTTGCATTTATTGCAAGGCACTTGGGTCGCGATTTATGTTTTTATTGTTGCATATCGAGTAAATTTAAAGAAATTTCACTGTTAAACTATTTTTGTTTACCGTAAATTTATGTCGCTGTAAAAGTTATCATTATGTTAACATATCTACTTAAAAACTCGTATTAATTGATCAACTAATTGCTTTTGTCAGATAAACAAGAAATTGATTTCAAATAGATTTGTTAATTGTGTAGAAAAAAGTCACAAGAGTTATATTTTTTGTTGAGTATTTTTATTTCCTCGTGTGTCTTTTACGTTTTCGTGAGAGAATGGCTTTGTTAGGTAGTGTATTACATTATTAACAAGACTATCATAAAAGAAACAACTTTGATTTTTTTTACTCCAATGATTGAAAAAAATGAGACCATACGACTTTCAATACTTGTTAAATTACGTTAAAAACACCTAAAATGTTTTTTGACATGTATAAAACGTGTGGTTATTATTTAAAAGTAAGGTATTACTGCCAGTTAATGTTACTTCATATAGAATGTAAACATGTAATTAACCGTTTAAAATATTAATTAATCGTTGCCTCCAGCGATTTTTATTTGAACACTTTAACTTTTTGCTGCTTCCAACAATTCAACTTACATGGAAAAACTTTAAAATATTATTTTGTAGTTAATACCTACCTGAATAATTGTAATAAACTAATAAACTGCTGTAAAGTTCAAATAAATTCCACTCACCATGTTTTAATCTCAGTCTCTGTATATTTGACTCGAGGTATCGGCTGGCCACTGAAACAGACAGAGATGAAGGATTGCACAGTAGATAAGAGAAACAAAGGGAGTGTAGTTGAAACCCATATCATATCTTATCATGCAATGTCCAAAGCTTAATAGAGTGTTTATTTGCATATTTTATAATTTTGCAATATAGTTTACACAAGAATCATAGGAGAACGAAATTATACATTATCCATCCTAAACACTAGTTATATGTCTTCGTCCATAAACCTAGATACTTGTTTAATCAAGGAAGGGGCTTGAGGTGACGTTTATTTTTCAACCCACTTCAAATTAACCATTTAACGAATTTATTTTGGTGAGTCCATTTTACAGGTTAGTTTTGAATAGCCTAAACTTAGAATGGGACATTTTGAGCAGCCCCAATTTACAGACTCATTAGGGTAGCACAATTTGCAAAATACATTTTGAGTGATCCCAAATATCCCAAGTAGTCTATATTTTGGATTATTTCATTTGACTTATTTTGATTTATATTTTTTATGGTTCGTTAAATTTACACTAAAATTAGCTACCCAATACTGTATCCATATAGCCAAAGGTAAAATTACCTGTAAGGCAGGGTGGAAACAAGTAAAATTGTATTTACAAGCGTTGTGTTGTACAAGGGAACTACTTGTACTTGTGTACTAAGGATTGGCAATGTTTGATGATACAAAGAATTTCACAACAGCTTCACTTAATAATTAAGTAAACGCGATCACCCATAGTTAATTAACTTAAATAGCCATTCCAGTGGGGTTTGTAAGCTTGATAAAAAGCAAAGACAACAGAAATCAATTACTCACTGTTTGTAGGCGAGTGCGATGTTGGAGAACTGCTCTCTTCGTCGTCGGTAGACTGGGTCTTTGAAACCCTGTGGACAGTTACATACAACAAATGTAAGGGATAAAACAAACATGTTGGAATAGACTAATGAAGATGACAGGAGGACTATTAAGATTACCAGTAGATTTAAATATTTGCAAACGCTGTGTTAGGATGATTATAAACTACAATATGGTGAAATTGTACACAAAATTTATATGAAATTAAAATATACTCGTTGGCTGTATTGTATAACATCAGGAGAAAGGTCGTGTTTACAATCATATGTGAAAGAGTTGACTACTTGTTGTTTAATAAATGTTAAAGGACGGTATAATTTCTAGTAGTTAATTAAAATTTCGTTTGAAACTGCCTTTGAATAAGAATTATAATTGTTGTAAATACTATATATTTTATGTGTAATACAATAAAAGGAAAATATGTTTCGTGTCGTAATTTTAAAATATTTTCCTGCACACGTTTTTTGACCCAGCCGTTATCAAAATATAGCTGTCCAAAATTATACTAACGATCAAGTCATATATTAATTTATTATGTTGCAAAACTGTGTGTAAAATATAGAATTTCCACAGAAAAAATAGGTTTGCCTAAAAATCTTTAAAAAAACCCCACCTATAAAAGTGGTAATGCACCAACAAACGAAATTAGTTCTGAGTGTTAATGGGTTTTTTCTTTCTTAATGTGTAAATCTTATCCAATTTAATGTTTGTGAATGTACAGTACACAGAGAAATAATACGCATTGACTTAAAATAACTTTAATATTTATATTTTAAGTAAGTAAAATCATAATTTTCCTATTTAACATTGGCAACTAATCCAATCATTTTAAATCCACTTACCGGATGATCAGCGTCCAGTTCAGTTCCGTACATGAGCACTTTTTGGGTTTTGTCTAAATCCGAAATCTTCTTTGGAAACCACGGCATCTCTTCAAAATCTGTGGGAAAATTAATTATGCATTCGATGAGGTCATGGTTGTTAGATTTGGTGTATAAAAGTTGTTGAAACTTAAAAACCGTTGACTGAATGTTCACTGAATGCATTTATATCAGAAAACGTTGAAACAGATCAGTTTGACAAACAATCAACCATGATAACATCTTATATCCAATAGTGGATTTGACGTAGGCAATCTCTGTAATATTGTTTTGAATAAAAAAAATCCAATTTGATACCAATGTTATATTGTTTTATTGCTTACGTTTAGAATGTTTTCTAGGTAAATAATACTTTGAAACCAAAGGTTTAAACTGAATTATTAAGTTTAAATATTTTATAGGTATGTTTACTCTATTGTAGGCCTACTGATGCTGAAAATTTAGTAAAAATACAAAGTTATAAACGTCATTATATTATAACGGTTAGGTGTAGACCAAGTCATTCAAAGTAATCAAACCTCTAGAACAAATTAGAATAGTTTTAGAAAAAAGATAGTATATAGAAATAGTAAATAGAATAGTACGTACTCAAGATTACTGTAGGCCTATTTACATGTTGATATCGATCACAGGATTACAAAATTAGGAGTTTGGATTATGGGAAGATTAAGTGGTAAAGAATACTGTTATTTTCCTCTAAGCAGGATCAACAAAAATGAAAGTAAAAGCGCTCATTGGTTACGTTTTTCAAGTGCTATATTTTTCACTTTAAACCAATTTATTGTGAATAACTAAACAATATATTTTATAAAACTAACCAAATTTACATATCTCCCGGAGATGCTATTGGCTGTCGATACTACGCCAGTTTGATAATCGGTGCTGATATTATTTATATAATAAATATTTATCACTAATATATTGGTCTAATATTGTGGCTATACCTCGTAGATATAAATGCACACGCAACTAACAACGAAAAAACAATTTTAAACTTAGTTATACTTACAATTGCAGTTATTGTAGGCTATAGTGCCTTAATACAAAATAACATACAGTAAGACTTGATAGAAAGAAATGCAACGGCATTACAAATTTTAATTTAAATTACCAATTAGGTATTTGGTGCTGATATTTTTATAATTATTTATTTCTTAGTTATAGTGAACTATTTATTCAAATATAATTCTCGTAGTTTGATAAAAATGGGAAATAAACCATGATGAATCTCATAATAAATTGTGTCAGTTACAAAGTAATTCACAAAAGTTTGAAGTGTTTATCTGGCCGGGTGGTGTGGGTGGTTCTGAAGGAAACTCAAGTGTTTGGGAAGGAGATCAGATGCGAGTAATGCCGTGCTTCTGTTTTCCATGAATTTTCCCGACGTTTCCAGATAACAAAATGGGCGGGTTGAGTTCCACTAGCTTTTAGTGCTATTTGACTTTCAACAGCTGCCTGAATAAACCATGGACACGTGACCGATCGTAAGGTTTGGAATCAAAGAATAAGGGTTGAAATAAATTAGCAGGGTGTAAAATGTTATGGTTCTTGTTAGTTTTGAAGACGAGGCTGTTATATTGTGTTTTATATGGCGCCTATGGTTAACACGTCTGTTGAGTAAAATAAATAAAAGGTTTCATGGATATTATCCATATTGTACACTGACTCCTTTTATTTATTTTATGCAACAAAACACTATAAACAAATTACATTTCATTCAAAGCAATAGTTAAGAGTCCAGTTCAAAGTCCATTCACAAAAATCTATATATTAATTTGAAACTGTTTTTCTTTGTCACAGCTATTTTGAGATAACGGCTGGGCGTAGAAACTCGGTAGAGGTGTCTAAAGAAAGGTCTTGGTCTGTAGATGAGCCATCAAAAGAGAAACATGGTGAATTCCCTTGGGGCTCTGCCCCCGTGGCCTTTAAATTCCCATCCCATGTTATTCTTATGGAGGAAAACGGGGTTTTTGTCAAAGCTAATTTGAGAGAACGGCTGGGCGTAGAAACTTGGTAGGGGTCTCTAAAGAAAGGTCTTGGTCTGTAGATGAGCCATCAAAAGAGGAAAGAGGTAAATTCCCTTGGGACTCTGCCCCAGAAGCCTTTACAGTTGCCTCTTCAGATTTGTTTACATTACGACCATATGCATAATTCTAAACTACTTTTTATTGCAACAGCTGTTAATATTTAAATTGTGATTTATTGAATTTGTCAAAATGAAGTACATTATTTGCAATGGATTTTTCTGATTTTAAAATTGATTTTCTTCTGCATCGTGTCATGTTTTGCAATATAATGTTCTATTACCAAATCAGTGGAAAATCCTAATATCACAGTAACTTTTAAAATGATTTCTTAAGGAGTTAACTTATATCTATTGTATGGGTTGGTTTCTGCCTTTTTTACCACTTCTTGGAGATTTTACGTAGGTTATATTCTTTGGCATATTGCATTTGTAGACGAAACTTGGGTTGGTGTAATTATTACAATGGAAAAGAGCGAGAAATCCTGGACAATTTGATATAGGCTAAAAATAAAACTGAATTAACACTGTGATAAGATAAGATAAGATATTTACAAAAGATTTTGATTATATCTAACTGTTGTGTAGATCGTGAGTATTTCCATAATCTTTCAGTCGGATGTAATGCTTCGCAATTGCTCGAATTCGAGCAACAGGTACACTAGTTTAATATTAAGTATTGATTGATCCATTTCATAAATATTAAAAATATATCTTGCATGAAATCAATAATGTAAAAATAACAATGTTAGTGAATTCTATTCATAGTGACTTTATTGTATTTATAATATTGATAAATCATTGCCTTAATAATATACCTACACATCATAATATGCACTTATGAATAGAATAGACTGGGACGGGTGGCGTCGTCCTGTAATCCAGCTACTGGGAGGTCACGAATTGTGGATATTTATAGGGATGCACTGTGGATGCGATGCTCCCTGGTGTGGATTAACGTCCGCACTAGTGAGTACTACGACTATCCGCAGTATTATCCTGGTAATTAGACCAATTCGTAAATTACAAGGAAAAATGTGGTTCGGATTCCACTATAAACTGTAGGTCCCTTAGTTGCCATTAGCTGTATGGGCTATTAATTAACAGCTGTGTCTAAGGAATATGTCGGCCTTAGTCACTAACAAGACTACAAGATCGCGCCACTCATCCTACACTCATCCTTCACTCATATTTGGGTTAAAATACGCACATAGTGGCGTCCCCATCTTAAATAATTGAATTGAATTGAATTGAATGGATAGATAAGACCGCACGTCATTGTGAAACCTTAACATTCCAGAATATTGGATTAAAGGGGAAACAATTAATAAAGTGAAACCCAAAATTTTCAATAGGTGGGCGTTGTTCTAAAGCAACCTCTTTTTGTATGCTGTTTTTGGCCATTTTCGTCAGACGTCGTGAGCGATCGGCAGACGTCGTAAGCGATCGCCAGACGTCGTAAGAGATCGGCTGACGTCGTGAGCGATCGGCTGACGTCGTGAGCGATCGGCTGACGTCGTGAGCGATCGGCCGATGTCGTAAGCAATCGGCTGACGTCGTGAGCGATCAGCCAATGTCGTAAGCGATCGGCAGACGTCGTGAGCGATCGGCCGATGTCGTAAGCGATCGGAAGACGTCGTAAGAGATCGGCCGATGTCGTAAGCGATCGACAAACGTCGTGAACGATCGTCCTACGTTAGAAGCTGTACCATGGCCATACTTAGTTTTGACAATACCTACCAAATGAGGCGGTAGCGGAGAGAGGTGTGGGCGGTGGCAGGTCAACTCCCTGCTCAAACGTGTCCAGATTGATGGCGGCGACCTCTCTCTTCAGCAGAGCCATCAGCTGGTCCATCCTCTTGTTGTCGCACTTCACCTCCACCAGGATCTCGTACTCGGAGTCACGTCTGCCCGAGGGACGAGACTCTATGTGGAGGACGTTCACGCCCAGGTCCTGCGGGAAGAGGAAGTGGTTAAGCAATGGAAAACGAATCCTCCAGGCTCTGGACTCTGGAGGAAATTGATTTGGGGTTAAGATCCATAATTGCCCGGAGTATTAAGTACTCATTTAAACTGTAATATCCATTTTTATTGTTTAGTAATTTGTAATTTTTAGCTTCAAGAACTTTTCCAAAGACTGGTCTTCAGGGTTTCTGTAAGGTGTGGCGGGATTTTGTAGCCAATAAAAATAACAATGACAGATTTCCTGGTTTTGTACTTTTGTAGCTGCGAAAAATTTATTACTCTTCTGTGGCTGATGGTGTTAAGGACTTATTTTTAATATTTAACGTGTAGCGTGGTACAAAAACCATTGCATACTTAAGTTAAACCACCCTTATCACTGTTGTCGGTTATTAAATCATGGCTATTTACAATGAAGACTGAAGTCCAAAGATCTAAGGAAGTTGTTCGCCGAACATGGTAGCATGTGGTCGCGTAAAAACGCTTTCTCTAACATACCGTAAAACTACTATATTAATATCACCACACGTCTATGGTGACGAGCTGATGAAGTTTTTTATTGAGCAGATGAATCATAGAAATAAAATTTTAAAAGTGTCTTCCTCCTACCTGAAACACCTGCAGAGCTCTTGCTAGACCTCCGACCTGGTTCTTGAGGGAAAATATGAGAGAGTTGATGGGTGTGTCTTGAGAACCCCCTTGGGACGACTGTGAAGGCTGCGGCAGCTTCTTGGGCAGCTGTAAACACATTTGGCTAAAACTAAAATCCGATCATGCCATCCCGTATTGTATATTGTTTGGTTATTAACCCACCCCCACACCCTAAGCAATGCAATAGTGAAGGTAGCATCACCCTACAAACATAGGTAATATACAGGAATTGTTCATCAAATTGGATAATATTGTTGCAAACCAGCAGTATTTAGCTTGTTTGGTAAAAGTTAGAGATGTTTTGGCAACAGATAATTATATTTTTGCTTAAATCTTAGATATTTTGCTAAATATTTTAAATGTGTTAGGCTGATTGTTTGGGATATGTTTGGCGGAAATGTGATATTTATCTAAAGTTCGGTACGAATTTGCAACAGTTTGAGACATTTTAGCCATGGGTTTGGTACATTTTGTTGAACTTTGCGAGTTTTTATTTTAATTTCAGACCGATTTTGCAAAAGCTATTTTGGCTAAAATTTATGATATTTTAGAATGTTTTATCCCAAATTTAAGTAGTTTTGGAAATGGGTTGAGATATCTTTGTGGTATCTGGGTATGTTTTAATGTTTTAACAAGCAAACACAGTGACTCACCGTAGGCTTGGGTACGCTCTGTTTGATGGTCCATTCCTCGCCAGAACGATACAGCCACAGACCCAGAAGACTTTTACCAGATCCACTCATCTTGACTGGGTCACTGTAACGGAGAACGGTTAAAATAACGTGCTAATAATCATTAAGGATAGACGTGTGGTCAGGCTAAGTGTTTTGATACCGGTGATGTGAACGTACTGCATGATATTTACAATTATGTGTATTTAAAATTTAAAAACCACTCGAAATCAATGGTTACTTTCAAGCGGCTTACGTTAATTAATCTAAATGCGATAAATAGAGTTATATCATCAACACTTTAACATTAAGCTTTGTTTAATAAGTAGTAAATATGTTTTTAAAATAACCATGACTCCTGCGCAAATTACAAGATTGTTTGAATGTTCAATGGATAAAATATTTCCAGTACGTCATCAGTGCTATTATTAGTTAGTTAACTGGTTTCATCTCCTCTTTGAAGAACATTTAGATATTGAAATCGTGTAGATGTATCTTTTGTGGTTAACACTTCCGCGATTTCGTCAGCGCAAGGCGAATTAAATCTATGTTATTGAGAAACAAATATCTGTTGAAAAGGTACATTCTTACTTACAGCAACTGCTTAAGAGTCTTCATCAGTGGTAGCCATATTGGATTTTAACCCCATAAGAGCAATTTTAAATTTGACAGAACATACCATCATTTATAGCAGCATGCCGAAGATATAGTTTTGAAAATGTATAACTAGGTTTATAACATAGAGTACTGGGGAATCGGGAAATTATATTTCAAATATTTGTTTTTGTATTTTCTTAATAATTTATTTAATTAAGGTTTAATTAATTATCATTAACTTGGAGAGAAAATGGCAAAACTAAAATCTTTTTAGACTCGCTAGAGGACCACTAAACCTTTATTTTAAAGTTCAATCATTATTATATTACAACAGGGGTTTTTTTTTTAATTCTGTTTCAAAGTTTAAATTGCTCTTATGGGACTAAAATCCAATATGCCTACCACTGATGACAACTCTTAAATGGTTATTACTCTTAGTGCAAATATATTTTCAAGCAAAGTGCAGTGTTATTTTTAGAAATCTCATCTCATCTCAGTAAGTTAAGTGGACCACGGTTCGTGATAGGCCACTGCAAATCATCTGCCAAGATAACATTTTAGGCAAAGTTCGGATGCTCTTCAACACGATAAGAACTAAATGAACTTCTTCTGCAGATGAAGAATCTTTTGGTTTAGGCCTATATAAATATAAGCAGAATTGTGAATTTCACAATCCTAGCGCATGGCTGTGGCCTGAACTTTTTGTTGTATCGAGTTAGAGAACATTTTTATGTAACTATCTGGGTAAGTTTAATAGTATTTTTTTGACTGCTGCTCGTTGCACTTTGGAAATATTTTGTTAGGGATTAATATTAAATGGTTTTTGTAGCGTTAGTAGGTCTATACATGCTCAAACCATATGGTTTATCTTATATAGGCAAAAGTGGTAAAAAAGGCAGAACAGAAACCAACCCGTACAATAGATATAAGTTAACTCGATAAGAACTAATTTTAAGAGGTACTGTAATACTAAGATTTTCCACTGATTTTGTAATAGAACATTATATTGCAAAACATGACACGATCAAAAGAAAATCAATTTTAAAATCAGAAAAAAACATTGCAAACACTATTTTGACGAATTTCCTATTACACGTTATTTGAAATACAATTTAAATATTAACAGCTGGGTCATTAAAAAATATTGTAAAATCATCCAAACTAGAGGTCGTCCAATGGTCGAAAACTTGACCAAAAATAATGTAATGTACAGACTTCTCTATTTCCACCCTATATATAAAACATGTGATTGTAATTTATTACGTTTGTTTTGATTTTCTGTTTATTTTTCGTTGTCATTTCGTCACCAGCGTAGCAACCCTTAAGGCCCATGTTAATTTTTAAAATTTTAAATCCATTTGTTGTGTTTATTTTTTTGCATATTTTAATATATAACATCTACAGGGTTCTGCACATCTACGGGAAATATATTTCTAACAGTATGCAATATGCATAGATTTTAATTGCGATGCACACGAGCTGAAAACAGGTTTTAAAGAATCATACTTGCCTATTAATATATAGATGGCCATAATGTAAACAAATCTTGGAAGGGGACTTTAAAGGCCTCTGGGGCATAGCCCCAGTAGAATTTACCTCGTTTCTTTTTTGATGGCTTATCTGCAGACCAAGACCTTTCTTTAGACATCCCTACCATGTTTCTACGCCCAGCCACTCTCTCAAATTAGTGGGGACAAAAACACAGTTTCGTTAATGTATAGTTTAGATTGTACGGAAGTGTGTGACTATTTTTAAATGTTATTGTTTGATCATCAAATGCTAATATTATATTATTGCCTCGCTGAAAAATAGGCATTTAAGTCTCTATGCTTAAAATATCACTTTTCTCTAATTTAGCGGTTTGTTGTAGAGTAAGTTTTTTTACACATTTTCAAATTAAGAATTGTAAAATGTTAGTGTAGGCTAAAACGAAGTTAAATACCTAGTTTTGGGATGCTATATATTTTACTGCAATACAAATAGCGAATGAAGTAGTCCAACAATATCGAACCCCGGCTGAAACATATCAAGAAAGTAATAACTTAACTTTAATAAAATGACGTAGACCATGAATAATATCTGGTGATATTTGTATTTTCAATCCTGCAGACTGGGAATACAATTTTCAATTTTAATTATTTTTTACTTATGTTAAAAATATAAACACTTTGTATAAATATGACCGATTAAAATCCCTTGTTTTTGTGGAATGTTATAACTATCCTGAAACTATATTTTGAATATATTTTACACTATTAGACAGACCAATTCCCTTTTTTTAATCATCAGATTATTACAAATTTCAAAATATTTTAATCGATAAAATTATATACTATACAGGGATGATGCAATTTTATTACTATACTTAGTTTTTTAAGTAATTACAAATCTAAAATATAAACACCATAAATACTGTATCAAATTTATTTTCATTCAGAATTAATTTTTTACTAGTTAATTAATCGTTAACAATAATTAATATTTATAACTTAGTGATTCAATATAAATCAAAGCAATTTTATTTTAACCCTTTATTATAAACTTACAAATAAACGTTAGTTATACATGTAAACTTAAATAAACGACTTCTGCAAAGTGCGTATGCATAGATTTAATATTCTTAAAATAAACTGTGTGTTAAAACTATACCTATAGTAAAATCATATTAATCAGTAATTAATCTTATAGCTTATTTTGATTAATAACATGCACTATTGCCGTTGTTAATAATTATTGAAATAAATTGTTTTCGTTAAAAATCCCTTTGATTCAGAACAAGTTAGACAGTCCTAAGTTTAATTTCCTCTTAAAGATACATCAATTATTTTAATGCAAAATATTTAGATAAAATACTGCAAAATAAAATGTATGCATGAATGTAAACGACTTTGTTTAAAAGTTTAGCGAATCTATTATTTTATTGTAATACCAATACATTTACATCATAAATCAATTTAATGTTTTTTAGTGAATAACTTAATTGTCTGCCATTTTTTTTATATTTTTTGTAGAACAATACATCTCCCTTTCTGTTTCATACATAATAACTTAATAATTTTGTAACTAGATTTTTGTACCTCTAGAAGTTAATTAGATAGTTCTAAACTTGGTACACTTTCAAAACTTTTCAAGCTGTAATAATAAATTACATTTAAAGTCTCTTCAACGTTAAGAGAGAAAAAATGCGAACAATGTATTAAGATTTACTAATTACATACCTTATTTAATAACAAACCCTAAAAAGTATAACTTTGATTATACTTTTTAACATTTCAAATTTGGGTACTTTCCTGTTAAAGGGAACATTCATTATTATTCGATGATTTTTTTCTTGATATATCGATATTTTTGTTTTCCGATCCATTTATAATAATGTCGTTAATGACAAATTGACAACTGATCTAGTTTAGGCTAAAATAGGCTATTATATGGATTAAGAAATGGAACTGTTCTAAGCTAGCCTAACATAACCAACCAAACTTGTTGTACTATTTAAAAATTCCTTTTCAAAACCGAAAAGGCAAGTTAAACAAAGAATTTTAAAATGTTACAAAGCCAGTTTGGTTAGTTATGCAAGGTTTTTTTAACAGTTTCATTTTGATTACCGTATTGTTTGTTGATACTGATACTGAATAGTATTTATCGTATTTGTCAGCTGATATGTTTCAATTTGTTAATATCGATATATCGAGAAAAAAATCATCGATAATAATGAATGTTCCTTTTAACAGAAAGTACCCAAATTTGTATGATTGTATTTTAATTATGTACGGTCAATTTTTTTAAAATTTAACTATACATTTACAGTCTTGATTTGCATTTTGTTAAGGGTCGTCTTTTAATAATGTATAATTTTATAAATTATTATTAATACAAAATTCAAACAAGTTTGTAGCAGAACCTACCTGTTGCCTGTTGCCGCCGATGTTACTCTGAATGAGGCTGTGTTGAACCCCTTTCATCACCCACCATCCCTTAGCAAAATCAAACACCCCCCCCACCATCCCTTAGCAAAATCAAACACCCCCCCACCATCCCTTAGCAAAATCAAACACCCCCCCCCCCTGCTTGCGTCATCAATGGTGTTGTTTTGGAGGAGGAGAGGAAAAATGACACAAAGAAAAAATTGTAACTATCAGTAAATTGGAAGCATGTAAACCATGTGTGATTGAATTAATATTGTAGTAATTCAAAAATATTGAGATCAGGAGGTCAGATTATATCAGTGACGTTTAAAGGTAGTAAATTTTAACTCTGCGAAAAATGGGTATTTTCACGGGAATTGCGTTGCGAATGTTTAACAACCTTGGCTTTTTAGTTTTCACTCAGCGGTAGAGACTTAACATCTGACAAGCTCAAATCAAATTGTACTTATTTCGTCTGCAGTGTAAATAAATCAATATACATTTTGTATTTCTACGCTCTGTAAAAATATCTTTGAACATACACGTATCAACTTTTGTGTGACTAACTCTTGTCAATGTATAGTTGTATGATTCTCTGTGGTTCAGATAATTTTAAACAGGGGGAGAGAGAGTCCAAAATACTGCATCTCAAAATCAAATAGTTTACCACGAATTTATTAAGCAAAAGATTTTTTCCCATAACTTTGATAGCTTTGAAGGGAAAGCCTTAAGGCATTTTAAGACCAGCAATAAGATAAAAATTGCTCACGACATTTACAGAAAAATTTCACAAAGTGAATATACAATTTATATAAATCGGTATAATATTCACTACAAAACAGCAACTATTTAATTTCATCAACTTTATTGACTATAATGTAAAGTGTGTGATAAGGGTAGGTTAGGTAGGTCAAAGTTATCAGCCACAGCTGCTGTTGGTAACAATTGACCGAACAGCTGACTACGACTACAGCCCGCACACCGCAGCAACCATCGTGGTCAAAACTATTGTCATTATTTTTATTTTATTTTATGGTATAATCTGTTTTTTATCGAATCAAGCTATCGTAGCATGTATATTTGTTTATACAAAATCTGGTCCTTTACCTGTGATGTTATGTAACTTACTGTACTAATTTTGTCTACATATGTTACAGAGTTATACGTATACGATGGTGTGGGCCCATTTTAGATTAATTTCAGTCCATCAGGTATGCTTTGTTTTTAAATTGAACTCCAGTGTATGAAACACACTTACTTTTAGATTTTCCAAAGTGTTCAGAATAAATTAAGATGACCTTCGTCCTAGTGGTTCAAATCTCGCCATTAACCACGTTGGTTTTGTTGTTCTAGGACGCTAGACCCGAGCCTAGGATTGTGTTTCACATTACTTCAGGTTAGACCAAGGGGTTGCGGCATTATCACTTAAATTCCATTGGTGATTTGGCGGGATTCGAACCACGTTGGGTTTGGAGCTCATTCACGTTTAGTTGTCGGTCATACACCGCGAAAATAAATTGGTCCCTTAAAATATGAAACCGAACCAGAAGACTCCCCTAAAAGCCGTTGTAATAGTAGTTTTGTTTTTAACCATTGACATTTAGTGGACATAGTTTACATTTGACAGGGTTTCTTTCAAAATATAACCATTTTACTACATTGCATGAACATTATTATAATATATTATCAAACAATATGTTGAAAATACCTCTAAAAATAATATATCTTGTTCGTTTTTAATTGAGACAAGTTTGTTTGTGTGTGTGCGTAATCTCTTGTCACTGTTTCACCATAGGCGCTCTAAAAATAGCAAACATTAAACCAAAACGAAGATCACGAAACCTGACATGAAAATGTGGATCATTACATTTACACTTCGACGTTACATTTCGAGGACGAATAAAAGAGCAAGGGTCCCATGGGTCGCCATTGTCTGATACCTCAATGCATCTTAATAATCTGAAAAGCAACCTGACGGTGCCCAAGGCAAGTATTCGATGGATTTGCTCGGTAATCAAATTAAAAATAAAGATATTCATATTAGCTTTTTTCTTTGCTTTTCTAAATGTGTACTTAATTGTTATAACGTTAGAGCTTAATTTTATTTTTGTTCTTAACGTGTATGCGGGCAGCTACTCTAATCAACCATATTATATGTGTTTTAAGGTTCAAGGAATTTTTTCATACACATATTCCATTACTGATTAAGTTACACCATAGATAAAACATACCAAACTATGTCTTGTAATCCAGCATCTGATCCCATCTCCTGAGGAAATCAATCATTATCCCAAACATGTTAACAGTGGAAAACAAAATAGCTGAAAGCAATACATACAGTATTTAGAAAGTCAAATGAAAACAAAAAGAGGAATGGAAAAACTAAAAAAATGTCAGTTATCACTTCAAAACACGATCTCAGGGGCGCGGACTGAGAACTGTTATTTTTATTTACACCATTGAACCGAACAGAATACGGTATACAATCAAGACGTTGATTAAACAGGAGTAATACATTGATATAGTATTTTACCATGATAAACAAGCACAACACACTTACTTGTGTGTTGTTGAACCAATGCAGTGGATAGAGTTAGTACAGACCGTAATATCCTGTATAGTGTATTGTGTATTCAATGTGTTGAGTGTTGCATTCAATATGACTACAACAACCTACTGGATTATACCATTTGAAACACCATTTGAAATGTTACAAAACCGTTTGCTTTCTAGATTGCGATTTATTAGAAATATAATGTTTGTAATCGTTATTCGTTAGCTGTTTAGGCTGTTCTTTGACGTGGCAAAACATGCTTAGACTTGGCCCTCCTGTTCAAGGATTTGATGTAATCTAAATTTTCTAAGCCCATATAATTACGAAACAAGAGTTTCTACACTAAACATTAAGCTTAGAAGTAAAAGAAAACTTAAATTAATTTATATGATTTAAAATTCTTTCTTATATGACGTCGAATTGACTTAATATTTTAAACTCAATTTTCAAATTACATTTTAATGGATGTTAATATAGAAAAGATGTTATATGTGTTAAACATTTTCAATGTGTGTAAAAACAATACTAAGCCCTATTAACACTATTGGATCCAATTATTAATATCTCTGTAATTGTATGTCCAGCATCGATGTACGAACGACACAAACGAGGTTTTCTGTGTATTGCAGCTGTAATTAACAGAGCCTCGCGAGTAGCAGACGAATATTCGTTCATTTCACCGAAATATCAGATGTTTTGTTTCATTGTTGGACGTTGGATCCACTACATACACCCCTTCCAACGAATCGATCCATTTTAGACTCTAAACTCTGCGCAACCATTTAATGACTGACCAACAAATTGTGGTCACTCTTCTATTGATACGCTAGGAAGTATATGAATATCTTTTCAAACAAATCCTAGCTACAAATCTATATATTAATAGATAAGCATTTTAAAAACCTTTTCTCTCAGCTCATGTCTATAGCTGGTAGCTGGGAAAATCTGCGCATATTGTCAGAAAGATATTTTCCTGTAGATGTGCAGAATCACTTAATAAATTAAAATAGGGTCAAAAATAAGCACAAGAAATTAATTTCAATTGAAAAAAATACAATGGCCTTATGGGCTGCTGTGCTGGAGACGGAATATCGAATTATAAACAGAAAATCATAACTAATTGAAGAAATTCCGATTACATGTTTTTTTAGCGAATTTCCCATATAGGGAATAAGCTATTACCGTAGTACTCATGGTAAGACCTGGACGCGGGACCGATTTTTTTTTCGTTTTGAGGTCCCTAGAGGCCAAAAACACCATCCGTTCAAATTCATATATATATATATATATATATATGTGTGTGTGTGTGTGTGTGTGATGGTGGGTGTGTGTGTGTGTGTGTGTGTGTGTCCGTCAGCACGATAACTCGAGCAAAAATGATCCGATTTTGATGAAATTTGGTACAAGCGTGTAAACGTACGTTTATTCGAACGAGTTCGCGATCCAGACTGATCGGACCATGGGAACGGGGGTTTACGGGGGGTTTTATGGGGTAAAAATAGGTTTTTCCTATTTTTGACCCAAAAAACATAAAATTTAGCAATTTCTTTCCAAACCATTTAGTAGAGCTTAAAAAACAAATAATTTAGTATATTGGAGCGTTATTATGCGCCTAATGGTTACGGAGAAAATTCAAAAAAATTGTAAATTTAAAATTCCCATGTTATTCTTATGGAGAATAAGTAAACTGTTGTAGTTTGCTTGATGTGAACATATTTTGATCAAATTTGGAAAATGTTTTTATTTCTCACTAACTATTCATATTTTACAAAAAAACAGTTTTAACCACCCTGATGCAGCAATCCTAAGTACTTGTTAAACTAATTCTATTTAAATCAAGAATAAATGTTATATTTTTAAGTAGACATTTCAGTATAAATCCAATCAGTCAAAGGAAATTCGCTTAGTCTGCAGGTTTGCTGCGGCGGGGGTATTTACATATGTGGGTGAAAACAGAAAACGCCTTGCATTGTAACACATATGTACATGTTTCATTGTAAAACAACCTAGCTTTGGTCACTGTTTGGCTTTCTATTTTATAACTATGTTTACATGGACAAAAAGAATAAAAATATTTAATTCTTTTTGTCTATGCTATTACTTTCTATAAAAAGAAGACAATTTTTGCTATGTTTATGTTATATCCCAATATTCTTGTATAACTATACTTTAGGTATTCCATGCCAAAGTGTTGTAATTAATAAGTGTGACTTACACTTTTTATTATTTAAAAAATACTGCAACTTGCAACATACTTTTGTATATTAAGTATATTTTCTAAAGGACATTATCAATAAATGTATTCCTAATAATGATACTCAACTCGTTGATATTAATTGAGATATATTTTTTTGGACGTGGGTTTTAAATCAGATTATTACATTATATAAAATTGTTGTCTTAATTTATTTTTATAATACACTATTATGTATAAACACTTTAATACATCATTATACAAGCGTATTACTTTGTT